ACACATACTCACAAATACACCCACACACAGATATACTTAGTCACACACAGTCACACACAGTCACACACACAGTTGCACACACAGTCACACGCACCCTCCCCAGCCTGTTTCATCATCACGAACCACCCACCTCCCCCCTCTAAGGACCCCATGAGGACCCGAGACCCACCAGATAACCCAGGACTGTCACCTCCTCTCAAGATCCTTAGTTTGTCACATCTGCAGAATCACGTTCCAGTGTCAGGGAACCAGGGTGCGGACACCTGTGGGGGTGGCATTCCGCCCACCAGAGTGGGGTGTGTCGGGAAGGCAGAGGGGGCACAGCAGACAGTGTCAGGTGGGACCTGCCCCTCTCCGCATCCCCGCCCCTGGCCCTGGGCCTGGCCACTGCCGCAGGCCACACATGGGCACTGAAGCAATGACAGTGTCTACGACGTGAACGACTGTGGATGATCGGAGGGACCGTGGCCTGTGGGACCCTGCGAGGGGGGTCAGCCGGCGGGAAAGTGCTCGTAAGGCCCAGCGGCCAGGCAGCTGAGCAGAGGCCTGCCCCCCCCGCACACAGAGAGCCCCGCCCGTTATTCTGTTTCCACACCTGTCACCTCGAGAGGCCGCACCTACTGACTTGCTCATGAGGGAGAAACGGAGGCCCAACCACGGACCCTGTGGGTGCCCGGAACCTGGGAGGAACACCCTCGTCTGAGGAGCCTGTCCCTGGGGGCTCGCTGGTGGGTGCGGAGGACCAAGCCCACCTTCACCCTGGTGTCATGCTGAACGCGCCTGGCGGTGGTCCCGGTGACTGTGGCCAAGGGTGAACCTGCGTCTCAACTACAGACACACAGGGCCCTCTGGCCCCGGCCCCCACGCACCTGTTCTCACTTCACGATGGAAACAGACAAATTAGAATGGCGGTGCGGCAGCCACACAGGCCGGGACGCCCGGGCTCTGCGCAGAGCAGGCCCCGTGCTCACACCAGGCTCACACCAGCGGCTTCTCCGGGGGAGGGGGGGGTCTCCCTTCCTGATGATGAGCAGCTGTTCCTGACCCCGCGCGGCTGACAGCTGGGGCAGCCCTGTGCACTACGGGGCACCTGCCAGCATCCCTGGCCCCACACTAGTACCCGTGACACTCACTGCAAGTGACAGCAGAACACGTCCCCAGACATGATGATGTCCCCTTGGGGAAGTGAACATTTCCGGGTTGACAACCACCAAGCTAAAGACGGAGCGGGATCCATATGTTAGCACCGAAAAAAACTCACAGCAACGAAAAGAGCAGGCGGGTATTTCTGGATGAGGCCTCGGCACTTACCCACCCGGAGTCCCACACACAGCATGTCCCTCCGCCTCACGTCTCGCCCAGGGGAGCCGACCGGCGCTCCTCCAGGTGCGAGACTTCCTGGGTCGCTTCTCCAGCTCCTGTCCGCTCCTGTCCGCTTACATCTCGGGCGCGGCCCTGCACCCACACCAGGTGTCCGAGGAGCCAGGGAAAGCGGAGGCAGGGACAGAGCAGAGGCACAGGCTGGTCTCCAGCTCAGCTTGCCCCCCCCCCCCCAAGGCACCACCACAGTCTGGGTTCCTGCTCCAGGCAGCAGCCAGCTTCCTGGGACAGAAGGTGGCATCTTCTGGCCCCTCTCACAGAGGACAGCTGGTCCAGCCCGTGCAGGCTCTCCCTGCAGGGGACTCTTTTCTCTGAAGCGTAATCACAGATACCCCACCCCCCACCGCAGATGCGGGCAATCTGGCGCGACATTTCCAGCCAGCAAACCGTGCCCTAGTGTGCTCAGTTGTCCCTGCAACTTAAATCAACCCCGCAGGAGAAGCTCCGAGGTGCGTGAAACCCCGGTTTCTGGGAGCACCTTCTGGGTTTGCCACGGTCATGCAACCCTGGCTGAGCCCCCAGCTGTCAGCAAAGGGTCCACGTCTTACCCTCCCCCCCCCCTACATAATCCCAGCCTGACCCCGGCAAGTCCGGCTAATGAACGTGGGCTGCCTCCGCCCTCTTGCTGGGACGAACCTTCAGCTCCTGACCTCGGTGGGTCACCCGCAGCCCCCTGCCTCGGAGGCACCCCGGGGACACACCCCAGCTCCCAGCATCTGCCGCTCTCTGGCAGTCGTGTGGTCAAGACTCTTGAACTGCAGCCCTGTGTCCTCGTCCGCAAAATGGGAAGGTGAGGACGTCTGCCCTGGGTGGCTGCCCTGGAGCGGCCCGCAGGCACCTTCAGGGCCGTCAGTCAGACATGGGGCAGCTCGGAGAGAAGGGACTGCGGAGTGGCCCACAGGCACCTTCAGGGCCCTCAGTCAGACATGGGGCAGCTCGGAGAGAAGGGCCTGCGGAGCGGCCCGCAGCCCCGGACCCTCAGCGCTCAGTCACCTCGATGCTCAGGTGACGCCGATGATGGGAGCCTGTCTCCTCCCCGCTCCGCACCTTCTCACCAGAGCAGAGGGAGGTGGCACCCAGTTCAGGCCTGGACATGACCCCACCACTGAGGACCCAGGTGGCATTGTCAGCCCAGGAGAGAGGCTACAGAGATACGCCTTCACCCCAACAAACTCTGACCTGCTTCTCAAGGGTTAATTCTTTCTGCTCATTGGAGAGTCCAGGCAGCAGCCAAGCCAGACCAAGGGCCCTGCCAGTGGCTTCTTTTCCACCCCAGTAAACATTGTCCAAACAACCCTGCAGGAGGGCGGAGCCTGGAGAAGTGTGTGTGTGTGTGAGGGGGGGTGCCTGTGTGCATGAGCGTGCATGGGAGTGTACGTGTGTGCACGCACGGATATGGGGGGGTATGAGTGTGTAGATGTGTATGTATAAATGTACGTGCCTGTGTGTGCATGTGTAAATGTGTGTATATGTGCATTGTGAGAGTGCATGCATGGGAGTGTACGCGTGTGCACACGGATATGTGAGTAGGTGTGTATATGTGTCAATGTACACGCATGTGTAAATATGTGTATATGTGCATGTGTCGGTGTGTGTATATTGGTATGTGACTGCACGTGTGCACATGCATGTGCATGTGTGTGTGTGCTCTAGACACCCTCTCCCTGGATGAGCCTGAATCCACCCTCGAGGTGCCGACCTGTGGGGCTGTGGTGGCTGTAGCTGGTCACTGACGTTCATCACGGGGCACAGTGCTCATGGTGCCCTCCGTCCTGTCCCTCCTGCTCCTCCACAGTGGAGCCTCGTCCCTTGGGGACCAGAGTCCAGGCTGGGCCAGTGCAGGGAGCCCAGGTGCAGCTTTGTGCAGCTGTGTCCCTGGCGGAGGCCCCTTTGCAAACAGGGCTTAAAGCTGCAGCGTGAAGAAGCACCTGTCCTAGGGCAGACGGGTGGGCCGTTGGAGCCGAGCCCTGCTCTCAACTCAGAGACCGCGAGCACAAGACCGATGCAGCAGACTGCGTGTCTGGTGAGCGTGTCCTGTGACCTCCCATGCGGGAAGGGCTAGGGGCGCTGGGGTCCTTTATAAAGGACACTGATCCAGTTTGTGGGGCTCCACCCTCATGACCTCATCGCCCCCACAGGCCCGGCCTCCTGACACCATTTCCTCAGGGATAAAGGTAAGACTGAATTTGTGAATTTGGGGGACATTCAGTCCATAGCACCGTCCCAGACTCACCCACACCTGTGGCTTTGAGGTCATCTGTGCAGGGTGCTGCTGGGGTTCTGGGTGCCAACCCCAAGTGCAGGCGTTTGAGAGTCTGAAATGGAAGGAACCGGGGCCCCCGAGGACCCGCAGCCCAGACCTGGGCCCCGCAGGGTGTGAGGCCAAGCCCGGCCTGGCCTCCCCCGAGGACAGGAGGGAGCCAGCAACAAGGCCACAGCGGCGCCGTCTCCTCGCCTGCCCCATGGTCAGGTCTCTGGGCGGCTGGCAGAGGCGTCCACAGGCCCAGGGAAGCGCCTCGGGCCCTGCAGGGGGCAGGTGAATGCAGGGCCTTCCAGCCCCTCGGGACGCTGTGGGCGGCCCGGAGCGGGCAGGACTCCTGACGGGCTGGTCTCTGAAGCAGGTCTCTGCACTCAGCTGCCGCTTCTCCTGATTCTCACTTATTTGTGCCGTAAGAAATCTGCTCCTTGAGATACGGGTGCAGACAGCAGACCTTCCAGTACCAGGAACTACACAGGCGTGTCGGGGCGTGGCCGCTTGATTCAACAGTGGAACACCGACGGCTCTGGCCAGGGGCTCGCTCCGCCCCCCAGACTTCTTTCTACATTGACTATTCAACCCGTTCCTCTCTGGTGTCGCTCAGAACAAACACCGCTGAGGACCCGAGTCTCTCAAAGCCCCTCGGCCTCTTCAGATTCAGAGCACGTGTCCCCACACTGACTGCATGTGCTGAAGCTCCCAGACCGGCAAGCGGGGATGCCCGAGGGGCTCTCTGGACGTAACTGCCCCTGTGTTCGGTGGGGGGAGGCAACTCACAACACTGCCCTTTTTTAAATAAAAAGACTTTATTCATGAAATAAGACAGCAGCTAACAGTGTTCGACAGTCTAGGGAGAGCTCCTGTCCTGTGGGGACAAGACATGCACCTTGGGAAATATTTGGCCGAGTCACAGAATTAGCATTTTTAGTCCTGTAAAGTGCTAAGCAGTGTGCTTCTGGGGAGTGGGGCACTGGTTACCGATCACCCAGCCAGCAGAAGGCGGGCGCCCGAGTTCTTGCGGATCCCCTGACCCGCGGCCACATCGTGCACCCCACATTCCAGCTGGCGAGAGGCAGGGGCGGGCCTGTCCCACCCCCAGCAGTGACGCGGCCCAGGGCTCCTGGGGCGGGAGTCGCTCCCAACGCACCCTCCAAATAGCACTTCGGGTCAACAGGCACCAGAAAGGGCATCGAAGAACTGGCCGGGCGCTCTGTGCACTTCCTACAGGCCGGGACGCCCTGCGCGGACGCGCATCCGCAGGGACCGCGGGAAGGGAGCCATCCTGGCGCCCGTGCCGGAGCTGAACGTCGACGGGTGGGGGCTTTTTGGTTCGAAGCAAACATTATTTACGAGCTGTTACAGATCGTATATTCACTGAAACATTAGCTGTTCGTTTTTAATAGAAAAAAATGCAATATAAAAATACTACTTTGTTAAAATGTACAATACGCCCGTCACACCACTTTGGAAAAGCTCATGTCGGAGAGCGCGTGACACCTGGACTGGTCCGCGTGCACGGGCTTCCTTCACTGTCAAACCCTACTCTGGAATGAACAGGTGTACAACATAAATAAAAGTAGAGACTCTGAATCAAGAACATTAGGTTAAGAATTGTTAATAAACTCCTGCACCACTGAAGAGGCTATAGGTTATGGTAAGTTCTTAGCTTGCAAACTCCCAAGTAGCAGGCCGGGAAGACGGCCCAGGGCACGGCGCCCTGGCGGGGACAGCGGTGGTCAAGCACGGGGATCCCAGGACCTCCGACCACACGGGGCGCCCTCGGATCTGCCTCCTCCACACGGGTTGGTCAGGTCTCCACATGCAGAGAAGGACGCCCAGGCACCGAACGCCAGCCACCATCGCGATATTGCACATTTCTTCCCCAAGAGGGTTTTAGGTTGTCCCCGGCCAGTGTGGACATGGCCGTCACCCTCCGTCACACGTGCAGCAGCGGGATCTGCCAGACCATGATGGAGGAGGCCAGCTCCTCTGGCCGCGGCTGCCGCGGCCGCCTGCCCACCCGCCGGTGGCCCTGGCCTCCACACACCACCAGCACCGAGCTGACCCTCGCCCTCCTGGCTCGCCGCCCTGGACCCGGCATGGTGCCCGGGTGCCGCAGGAGGTCATAGATGATGCTGTCCTCAGACCTGGGCTCCAGGGACCCGGACGAGGAACACAGCTCACTCCTGTGCGTCACGGAGCCCAGCGAACCCCCCAGCCACACGGTGTCGGGGCTGCCCTGACTCAGGCAGGGCCCAGCCCCCTCGCTGGGGGCTGCATCCTTCCGGTCTTCATCCTGGGGGTCCGCGCCTGGGGGCGGGCTGTCCCTGGGCTTGTCCTTGTCTGCCTTGGGGGCAGCAGCGGCCATGACCAGGAACTTGACGGGCCCGCTGTGCGCGTGGTAGGAGACCATGCCCCTTCCTGCAGAGAGAGAGGGTCAGCCATCACCTGGTTCAGTGGCGGCGAGGACGGAGGCCACGCGGGCCCGGCCCGCCCCACCCTCCTCTCGTGTCCCAGTGACAAAGTCCTGCAAAGAGCCCCAACACGGGAATGGCAGTTAAAATAAAAATAGCTTCTAGGTTATATTCTTGTGGGTTTTTAGTTGATGCAAAGGAAGCTTTCAAAATGGTCTTAAACGCAGCCTTGGATTTCCACCAACAGCATCTCAGCTCTAATACGACGGCGCGCGTCTATCGTAAAAAATAGCTCTTTTCCGGTTCTCTGCACAGATGCCTTCCGCTGGCTCTAAGGAAACTTAATTTTCCCAAGTCTCGGTTTAGAAAGCCTGCGCCTGAAATGTGTCCGCTTAGGACCAAGAAGCCTCGCCGTCCTGCCATTGTTCATTACAAGAAGGTTTGGGGTTTCTTTAGAGCACCCTAATTCAAAGGGGGCTGTCTAGCCTGAAGGTGGTACGATCCAAATTTTAGGTCTTTTTGTGAAATTCGGGGCCTGCAGTGCCGACTTCCCCAGGCCCGTGGTGCATCCCGAGGGGCCTCCCAGGTGAGGTGGGTGGGGTCCAGGGAGCTGCCCTGCCCCCCTCCTGCCTTTGGCTGACAGGCCTGCAGCCCTGTCCTGTGTCCCACGTGGGCCACAGCCGACGACTAGGTACGTGGCCCCTGGCCGAGGTGAGATGTCGTTCCTCAAGGGACAGCCGGGAAACTCAGAACCCCCTCAGCGCAGGGCTGGGGGGACATGGAGGGTGATGGCAGTGGGACCAGGCTGGACAGGCTGGGAAGGCACCGGCCTCACCTGGTGCCGGAGCACAGGTGTTCCCCACGCACCAGGACTCCATGCCCCCAGCCCCGGGGGAGCTGTGCCCACGGGAGCAGAGGCACCGCACCGACACAGCCTGGGACAACTGAACAGCCACCACGAGGCGTGGCCACGAGGCGGGCTGCTCGGTACTGAGCAGGCGAATGCCACTGAGCCCGCGGGGGCAGGGCGGCCAGCCCATCGCACACACCACAGGGGACGACGGAACAGACTGAAGTCCTTCGTCCCCGCAGGTGGGTCATGCCTGCCAGAATGTCCCGAACCCCGGACCCCTCCACGGCAGCCCTGTCAAAGCCGAGGACAGAAAGGGGGTCCGGGCCCAGTGGAACATTCTGGGTTGACATTAGCCACAAACACTAGAAGCAGAAACTTTATGCACGTTTTGCAGAGTTTTCTACAAATCTTTTTCCGTGAGAGTCCTGCCCCCTCCCTCCCTCCCGCCCAGTGGTTGATACTACGTGAGCAACATAAGATGTAAGCTCTTGGTTTTACTTAACCTACAGAATTCACATTTTTCTATGGTATGCAAACTGCTCCGCACCTACTATTTTTACTGGCTGCACTGAGATTCTAAAATGGCAAGATGACCTTTTTGTTCCTTAAACATCTCCTCACCCCTAATTTGGAACACTGCTGAAAATGGAACGCTGCAGCAAATCTCTCTGCATCAGGCGTCTGCGGAGGCTGCTCCCCGGAGTCCTGGGTGGGAAATCCCGGCTCCCACCTCAGGAGTGTTTTTCAGGTGCAGGGTCCAAACGCCAGATTACTTTCCGAAAAGGCGGAGCCCGTGTGATCTCCACCAGCGCCGGGCGGAGCGGAGCCCCCGCGACCGGGCTTCTTTCTTAACCACATAAAACGTGAGGCATCGTTTTCACTAGGAGAAACCATCTGGTCATAGAAACCAACAGGGGCAGTAAAGGTAACTCTCCCTGGACCCCTAACAGAAATGGAAGTGGCAAAGAGGAGGGATACCCGAGAACACAAAATACTACGTAACATATACTACAACATGCCATTCAGCATGATACGTAAATATTATATGCAATATGTAATGATCCTACCTATCCCATAGTACTTCAGATTACGGTATATATTCTATAATACGACAGGATAGAAAAAGAAAAGGCTATTCCAATTAACAGACATAGTCTTTATGATACACTGAAAAGAAAAACAAATAATTTAAATCATTTAAGCGATTACCAGGATCATAAAACAGAACACAGGCTGAGGTGCTTACTTAACAAGATTACAGGAGGGACGGGGGCCCAGAAGGTTCCGCTCACCTGTCACTTTGGGGATGCCCTGCAGACGAGGGACCGGCAGGGCCACCACGAGTCCCAGGCTGGTGCCGACCATCAGCAAGCCCTGGCAGACCAGCAGGCTGGTCACGGACAGCCGCTGGGGCCCTGCAGGGACAGACAGGGAGAGCTGAGGCCAGGTGGGCAGGCGTCCTGTCTGGAACTACGCACGACAGGCCTGGCCCCCGACGGCTCATGTCAACAGCGAGCCTCCCAGGCAGCAGTCGCTGGAGCTCTATCCTTGGCCTGCAGCCTGCACTTCCTCAACCGGATGAGAAAGACAAGACCATGGGAAGCACGTCCTGGGACAGCTCCTTAGCAGATGCCCGGCGGGAACCCCGTCCACTCTGCCTCGCTCGGGCTGATAACTTCAGAGGCAAATCAAATGTCCTTGATCATCTCTGTAGCCATTTACTTCAGCACCGGAGCCTGAGGTGTATACACACACATGTACACATTCACCTGCACATGGATGCACACACACAGGCACATGCACACACATGCAGGTGCATATACACACACCTGTGCACATGTGCATAGGTTCACGCACATACACATGGGCACACAGAAAGATGCGCGCACACGTGCATTCAGTGCACACATACATGCACTCACATTCGTGTATGTACACACCACACATGCTGGCACATGTGTGTACATACCACATGCCATGCATACTTGCACATGCATCCACGCACATGCACACTGCCTGGCACACATGCAGGCACGTGTTTACACATCATGCATACTTGCACATGCACACATGAGGGCACATGTGCACACAACAGGCAGGTTCTGTGCCAGCAGAAGACACCTTTTTGGTTTTGTTTTGTTGTTTGGTACGTGCCCCTGGCGGGAACTGAACCCAAGACTGTCCGCAGGCCAATGCTCCAACCGCTGAGCCAAACTGGCCAGGGCAGGAGACACCTTTTTGGATGAGACAGAGTGTGTATAAAACTTGACTATTTTTGTTCAGAAATATATTTTAAAAGTGATCTTTTATTCCTCACACATTTTCCACCTGTCTGCATGTAACGGGATTTGGCTTTTCGCCCTGTCCCCAGCTCTGACGTCTGTGCTATATGCTGTAAGAGTCTGGGAAGCTCTGTTAAGCCTGGAAGTCGGTCTGCTCTCAGCCGGAACGTCAAGCAAAGGAAGTGGGCAGGCAGGCTGCTGGTTAACAGAGTTAACTGCTGATTAACTAGTCGCTGGTCAACCCAGGATGGCAGCAGGAAGCCAGGAGACATGAACTCACCTCTGGGATTTGTTCTCTAAGTCATAAACAACCTTGAATCTGGTTTAATTTGCTGAGTTCCCCTAAGATGTTATTGCTGGTATTGAGAAAACTTACCCTGTTTTAAAAATAGAAATTTTGGCCACTCTATTTGGTTACATCACTCCTGGAAAACAACACATTTGCTCATCGGGGACACTGAAGGGCTAGTTTAACATGAGGTCTCAGCACTTCCCCCTAAAGATCCTCTTCTGTGAACCGTGTGGATGAAGCAGGAAACACCTGGGCCCCGGTGCAGCTTCCTGGGGTCGTCTGCGGCCCGGTGGGGCCCCCTCACCAGAGTGCTGTTCCGAGCCCGTGGGACTGAGGCTCGATGCCGCTCTGGGCACCTTGTGCTGGCCACAGGGGCAGCGCTGACAGCTGCCCGACGGCTATCGGACGTGCTGTGTCACAGAGCCTGACCCTCTGAGGACTGAATCCCACAGGGAAAGACCAGCCATGCAGTCCCACATCCCGCGGAGGGAGGGCGTGGCTGGCTGAGGAGGTCCACAGATGTTCCCGGGGCTCCCCCCCAGGAAAGGTGCGGGCTACAGTGCACGTGTTTCCGGGCTCGGGAAGCCTCCATCGCTAGAAAGGCTGGAACTCGGCCGGCCAGTGAGCTCACAGGACAGCCTCATGCATTGTTGCCGCCTAGGTAACAGCCCATGGGGCGACCTCTGGAACACGCCTCCAGATGGGGGTTGCCTCTGTGACCCTGACAGCCCCACCCCAGGAATCTCCTTTCCTCCGTCTCCAGCTGCAGGGCCCAGCCTGTCAGCTTAACGCTGGGAGATCGTCTGGATCTGCGGCTACAAAATCACTTTAATTGGATTCTGCACCAATCCACAGTCACCTGACAGGTAGGATGTTTGCCATGATGGAAATGCGCACACGTAAAACTGTGAGACAGGCTGAGCCCCCACCTCCTCGACCCCCCTTGACACACCACCCCCTCTCTACACTGCCCCCCCGGCCCCCACACCCTCTCCACCGGCAGGACCCTCCTGTCCACACCCGCTTACCTGGTAGCATGTGGTGAACAGGGGTGGCTATGTTGATGTCCTGGAGATGTTTGAGGGTCTCTGTGTGAAACAGGCGCAGAGTGGACCCAGAGGTGAAGGCGATCCAAATGCCAACGCCGGCAACGGCCATGTGGGACACCACCATGCCCTCCTCCTGGTGGGCCTCCAGCTGGCTCTGGGGAGTCGTGAAGAAGGGACAGGTGGGCATCGGTGGGCATCAGGAGCCAGGCTGAAACCTGCCCTCTGACCTGCTCGAAGCTCTGGGCCTGCCACGGTCCTGCCTGTGGCTGTCCGCTGGAGCCCGGGTCACTGACCATGCACTCAGGATGTCCAGCCAGGGACCTTCACTCCAAACCAGGCACTCCGCAGGCCATCGAACGTGTGTCTCATTTTCTCTGCCCGCCCTCCACAGCAGATGAGGGCCTTCGGGGCCAGGCTACCTCCCAGCGACCAGGACTGAGAAAGCTGCACTTCACGCCCCTCCCCCACGGGCTGCTGGGGGAGGGGAAGGAGTGGAGGGCGCTGGGGACGCAGAGTCACTGTGGCTTTAGGAAGGACCCATGTCCCACCACTCCTGGCTCCTGGAGCCCAGGCTGGCCTGCCCTCTGTTAGCACCTGCCCTGGCCGGGCCCTGGGGGCACCCCCTGATCCCCAGCAGACCAGGTCGGCCGGGGCTCCATCCTCACAGCCCTGCTCCAGGAGGTCCCCAGACAGTGCTGTGCTGTCAAGCTTGAGAGCTTCTGAATTAGTGACCCAGGTTTGAACCCCCAGAGGCACCTTCTGCTTCCTGGAGGGGGTCTTGTTAGAAAAATATTAAAATAGCATGAACATCCTAAGAGGGTCACTGGAGATAGAGTCCCAGGCTACCAGGAGGCGGGGCCTGTGCAATCTTGAGCGTCAGTTCTGGGTCCTCAGAGCTGCTACTAAGTTGCTAACCAGCTGCAGCACTGTCCAGGCTGAGCCACAAACACCCAGGACAGCTGCCCTGTGGACACAGGAGGACTTGATCTCTGCTGTGGTTTTAATCCCCTCATTTGCATATGAATCCAATCCCTGCTCACCAGCAGCCATCCTCATTTGAATACAGAATAAACCAATCCCTGCCCACCAGCAGCCATCCTCATTTGAATATAGAATAAACCAATCCCTGCTCACCAGCAGCCATCCTCATTTGAATACAGAATAAACCAATCCCTGCTCACCAGCAGCCATCCTCATTTGCATGAAGCCCACCTGGGTTTCCCTTCATAACCTGCTTTCTGTGTTCTCTGCAGAGCGCAGGTGGGTTCCTACCTGACTCTGCGTCTCTCGGGTTGCAATCCTTTTGCCCAAATAAAAGCTTTCTTCTTTTATTACAGCCTGGAATTTAATTTTGGTTGACAGATCAAACTTCAGGAGGCTCATAAAACAGTTTGCCCGGCACAAACACCGGCCACTGTGACTTCCCCTTCATCCTGACAGAGCAGCACTCTGGGTCGAAGCAGTGACTCAGACTGGAGGAGGGCGCATGGCAGGCCCAGGACCACCCGTCAGCACCGCAGCCCTGCCAGGAGGGGGTGGGACAGAGGACCAGGGCTTCAGAGGCAGTTTGGTGGCCCCACACCACCGTCACGGGGGAGAGATGGGGCGCCAGCCTTCTGTCGGGCTTCCTGGGGAAGAGTTTCCACTTTGCTCTTCTGGAACCCCGCTGCCTTCCTCCAGGGGAACCCCGTTGCCAAGACAAGACGAGGGCTGGAGGACGGGCAGCCGCCTCACCGTCCACGGCCCTGGTTGTCGCCAAACTCTCAAGGGTCCCAGCGCAGAGAGGGGTGGGAAGGGATGGGCAGGAGCCTCTACGCACGTGGTTGCACGTCTCCCGTGAGGGCAGAAAGCCAGGCACCTGCCCATTCTGGGCACCAGACGGCACCTTGCTGGTTCCTCACATCAGCTCAGAACAGAAGCGACCAGCCCTGGAAAAGTGCTCGGGCACAGAAAGGCGACAGCCAGAAGTGCAGCTGCCCGCTGGGAAATTGTGTCACCTGAGCACAAAGGGGTAAAGGAACCTTCTGGGGTCTGACTGAACTATTCGTGATTAAAACTTCCTCTGAAGGACGCCAGGAAAACACAGCCTGCTGGCCCTGGATCCCAGCATTAGCATTTCTCGAACGTTCCCAGGAGACGCTGCAGGTCCACGCCCCCTTCGCTGCTTTGTATGTACTCCCTCGTCCCTGCTAACTCCTCTTCCGTCCTCCCGTGGGTCGGGGGAGTCACCCTTCTCTTCGGCGGTGCTTCCGGAGCGCCCCGTGCCCGTTCCCCTGGGAGCTGACGCAGCGTCTGCTGCCATCTGCTCCCTTCACGGTCACACGCCTTCTTCAAGGACTGCCTGGTGCTGGGGGTCTCCAGTCCTGCAGTCTGCTTCGATCCCCCTGTCCTGTCCACTTGGGGAGTCTTCAGTCTCCTGCAGCGACCCTCTCAGTTCATCCTCTGGTCTCCATTCTCACCCCCTTTGAACTGCTGGCAAAATAACACGCATTTCACAACATCCATCCCACGTCCGAGCCCCAGCGGCTCGCCCTGCGCACGGCGTGGTGGTGTCCGGAGAAAAGCGCTCACACATCTGCTCCAAGAAAGAAGGCCCGGTGCTGCCTGCAGGGGTCAAGGGCACCTCCAGCTCGGCCCATGGACCTCCTGAGGGGAGGTGGCCCTGAGGGGCCCAGTGAACCGAGGGGATGAGCCGTGAGCTCCTGTACTAGGTAGGCGGTCCCTCTGAGCACCCCAGCCCCCGCACCCTCTGCCTCAGCGCAAGAGAAAAACGTGCAGTTCCTCCCCTCCTGACACGCATCTCCTCCTCCCTGAGACATCCTTCCAACAAACTCCTCCCCCTCCCGCGCGGCCAGCCTCTGGGGTGCACGGCAGGTGCAGGTGCCCAGGGCCCTGCCCTTGGTTCGAGGGCCTGAGGCCGCCACGTTTAAATGTGTCATCACTGCTGAGCATGGGGTTTTGCAGACGACGCAGCCAGTCCTGACCCCAGACACCCCTCAGGCTGGTGTCACCCTCAGTTTCATGGTACCCACACCCCTTCTGGCACCTCAGTAAGTCTGTGAGCTTCCTCCAGCCCGGTACCTAGGAAGCACATGGCACCTCTGCTGGATGAGGGATGACGGGAATGATAAACTTCACCTGGGGTGGGCTTGTCTCCTGCTTCCTCCCAGCCTGCGTTCTGTTTGCAGACAGGGCCTCAGACCCTGCCACCCTGAGATCCAGCGACCTGAGGGCCTGGCCTGGGGTGAGTGGTTAAGGACCCAGCTGTCTGTCGGCCTGGCGCTGTCTGTCTGTCCCCTGCCTAACCATTCAACTCTTGTCTCTCACAGGAAGAAGGGCGTGGACTCAGAAAGTCACCACCTCACCCTCCGAGTCTCCTCCATCCCTTCACTCATCTCCTGTGGGGGCAGGAGGAAGGCTTTCTCTCTCCCTCCTCTCTCTCTCTCTAACCCACACCTGCTGGTAGATCGAGCGACCTGAGGGCCTGGCCTGGGGTGAGTGGTTTGGGACCCAGCTGTCTGTCGGCCTGGCGCTGTCTGTCTGTCCCCTGCCTAACCATTCAACTCTTGTCTCTCACAGGAAGAAGGGAGTGGACGCAGAGAGTCACCACCTCACCCTCCGAGTCTCCTCCATCCCTTCACTCGTCTCCCGTGGGGGCAGGAGGAAGGCTTTCTCTCTCCCTCCTCTCTCTCTCTCTAACCCACACCTGCTGGGCCCAGCACCCCTGGGTGGTGCGCCCCCTGCTGCCCGACTGAGAGAAACAGCGCCGGGCCGCACCCGTGTCCCCGCCTGTACGCACCAGCCGCCACACGGCAGCCGTCACATTAGGACACTCGAGCCTCGGAGCTGCTTCTCCCATCAGCACCTGCACCTGGCGCCCTGCTCAGCCCACACCCACTCTATCGCGCCCACGGGCACACTCAGGACCGTGCCTCTCAGCGGGGCCCCCACCCCGGAGGAGAGGCCTGTGCTGGGCCAGCCCCCTGCGGTTTCCCGCACAGCAGGGCCCACAACAAGTTGTTTACAGACAAAGGGAGCAGATTTCTGCTTCTCTCTCTATTAATGCACTGACTCGTCTTGGTGCTAAAAGTGCAAAGAAAGGAGACTTTTATTTGGGTCCAAATATATTACTTCTGAGTCGCCAAGATTTATAGCATATGAAGTCTCTGGGACATGTGGAAACAATGTTTTGATTACAAGGTCATAATGTAACATTACGTCAGCCGGGGAGCCCCTGGCAGGAGCTGTAGAGACCGCGGGCCAGATGTTTGGTGTAAATTATGGGGGGAAAATCAATGCATTGTTTTTGGAGAAATGTTTTAAAGAAAGATTGTTATATTGTCATTCCTGCTCTGTGAAAAGGAACCCAGATGCAGATTGAAAATGTCGTTTCTGTCTCTTGTAGATTATATTCGTTCAAATAACGTATCGCAGTAATAAAGAACAGCCAGTGCTGGGTGCCCTCTATGTGCCGACTCGGATGACGGCTGGTGTGCAGGGCTTGGCTCAGTATTTGGTCCACGGGGGGCTGAAGGTCCCCTTCCCCAAGGACACATGAAATAAAAAAGTATCTGATAGTAGAGAGAGGTTGCTATAAGATACCGGGCAAAAACAGGTTGAGGGGTTTCCGTCCTGCCCTGACATTCAGCCGCACAACCCCTCTCCTACCCAGTGTCCCACTGACCGAGGCTGTCGGCTTTGGGAGGCTGGGTCCCGCAGGACACAGGGAAGGTCGCGTCAAAACGAGAGGGACAGCACAGCTATGGGTGGTCCCACAGGAGTGGCCTCCGCCTGGCGTCTGTGGGGACCCAGCTCCTGGTTGAACCCCTGCCCCTGGTGTGGGACCTGGTGATTCGTCACAGAGCCCTGTTGTCCACCCTGTCTGCATGGACGCAGTGGCGCTGACCACCGTTGCCCAGGTTCTACAACATAAGGAGCTACTGAAGGCTTCGTCCCACTTTGAGAATACAGAACACGCCACCAAATATGTCCTGAACTTCTTATAATGTGTCTCGTGAAATATCAGCGAAGTGGTTAAAAGTCTCTGCCCCTGTAACCTGACCCCCCAGAGGAGAGTCTGGACCTGCAGACACCCCAGTGTCCCCGAGTCAGGGGAGACGCAGCCTCGGGAGCCCCAGAGGGGAAAGGGACCCTCCTATGAATCTCGTCTGAAATCTCATTCTTGAGACATTCATTCCATAGGCTGAAAAACATGCCCGTGATTGGAGTTCACTTAGGGAAGAACCGAGGTAAGAGATGGTCATAGACAGACAGAAAATAATGAGGTATACGAGGTTTTTAAAAATAAAAGTAACCCCTGGCCGGTTTGGCTCAGCGGTTGAAGCGTCAGCCCACGAACCAGAGAGACCCGGGTTCGGTTCCCGCTAAGGGCACGTACCTCGGTTGCAGTTTGTCCCCGGCCCCGGTTGGGGTCATGCGGGTGGCAACCACTCGATGTGTCTCTCACATCAATGTTTCTCTCCCTCTCTCTCCCTCATGCTCTGTCTAAAGATAAATGCAAAAATGTCCTCAGGTGCCCTGGCCGGTTTGGCTCAGCGGTTAGAGCGTCGGCCTGTGATCCTGAGAGACCCGGGTTCGGATCCCGCTAAGGGCACGTACCTTGGTTGCAGTTTGTCCCCGGCCCTGGTCGATCGTGCGGGTGGCAGCCACTCGATGTGTCCCTTCACGTCGATGTCTCTCTCTCTCTCTCTCTCTCTCTGTTCCTCTCTCTCCCTCCCACTCTACCTGAACAAAAAATGGAAAAATGTCCTTGGCTGAGGATTAAAAAAAAAAAAAAAATGTCCTCAGGTGAAGATAAAACAATAAATAAATAAATAAAAGTGATATGTGACGTGGCTAAAACATTCAAAAGGCCAGTGAAAACCAACCCTTTCTCTGCCATCCCACCCCCTGCTTAGAAGTGACAGCTTCGATCTGTCTTTTCAGAAGTTTCTGTGCTGTGGCAAGAGCACACACACGAACACACACACGCCACACGACCACGGAGGACGGCTAACACACGACGCTGGTGGCAGCCGCCGCGTCCCTCCGACGGGCAGTCCCAGGGCGGCTGCACCCCTTCCCCACGACGTGCCCCTCCCACCCACGCTGCCCATGCGCAGAGCACACCCCTCATTACCAGCCCCCCACACTGGGCTCACTTATTTGTGAGGCCAGACGACAGGGCAGTGAACCTCCCAGCATGCTGTGCCAGCTGAGCCGGGGGGGATGGCCAGGGACGGCCGTGCGGCTGTCAGCGCCAATGGGGACACGGGGCTGCCTTGGAGACACCTGCCCGCACCCTCCGCGCCGGCCCTGCAGCCTGTGCCCAGCGCACAGCACCTTCCCGATGCCCACTGAAAATCGGTTCCTGGTTTCAGTGAGGCTGAGGTGTGTGTGGTCTGTGAGCTGCCTTTCGTGTCTGACATTTTCCATTAGCTGTTTTCTCTCTTGAAAGCATAGTAGGAATTCCCTCTGCACTGACGACATCCACTCTGAGTCACAGATGCGGCCGGCGCCCAGCATATCTTTCCCCGGGGTTTTTAAAAATATTTTCTGTTGTTGATTTTTTTAGAGAGAGAGAAACATTGATCCGCTGCCTCCTGCTCGCCCCCTACTGGGGATCGAGCCCATAACCCAGGCATGTGCCCTGACCCGCAATCGAACCGGGACCTCTCAGTCCATGGACAATGCTCCATCCACTGAGCCACACCAGCCAGGTCCCAGTTTTTAATTCATAAAAATGTTGATACGTACACATATTAATGTGGAAAAAGAAAAGGTTCTATAGCTACCAAATGCTTTGCTTTATTATGGCAGCCAGGAGCTTGGTGCGGCCCTGAGACGTCTTCCCGGCCAGACAGGGACGCCAGCGCCCTGCTCTCTGAACACCCAGATGTGACCTGCAATCTCAACAGCACGCTCCTCGAATGTTGCAGAACGGGGCGGGGCCTGACCACAGCTCCCCCTTGCCCAGTGGTGACTGTCTGCCCGCCCTCCGCTCGGGTCTGAACCGCCACTCCCGGCGAAGGTGAGCTCGGGTGGCCCAGAAGGTGGTACGTCCCCACCGAACGCGGTCTTTGCAGTAAGCGGGGAGGACTCGCTCCCGTGGGGAGTGGCAGCCAAGGGTCAGTGGAGTTTTCTAGGCGACCCTGTCTTTCTACGCTCATCAGGAAGGAATGTCCTCTGGCCTCAGGGCTGCCGAGTGACCTGTTCCGGAGGCGCTGACCTCCTGCCCCCGACGGTGATCAGACCTGTCCCGGGGGCACCCCCCCACTCGGCACAGTCACTTCCTGCCACTCACCTCCACGGCGTAGGTCTCCACGCTGATGATGAAAACTTGACCCCCGGAAGCTGCCCACAGAGTGTCCTCGGCCACCAGCAGGCTCCTGACGGGCAGCACACCCAGTTTCATCACCTCCTGAGGCTCGGGGTCCCAGGTTCCGTCTTAAAAGGAAATACTTCTGTCAATCTCCTTCATGGTCAGTTGTCCGCGCACAGGGGCTGGGGGACGGAGCCCAGATCACCCTGAATAACAGACCACGAAAGCGGCATCTGTGGCTCTGACACTCGGATTGGCTCTGGGTGTCCCCACTTCCCCGACGTGCACTGTGTCCACCAGCAGCCGGGCGACTAGACACGGAGCCTTCCTCTGGTCAGCAGGCCCGAGCCGACCCAGCCCCGCCGTGCGGTGCACCCTGGACATGATTCACCCTAAGCCTCCGTTTCCTTCTCAGCAAAACAGGCACAATATTGCCACGTGCCTCCAAGGTGGTTGTGAGAATTCACAATGTGATGATGCAGCTAAAAGCTCAGCACAGCATGTGGCAGACTGGTGTTTACAACGACAATATATGTAAAATTATTCCGTCATCTTAAAAGAAACTGTACCAAAGCAATTTGGCAAATGTTTAAATATCCCACGCTTGCTTTTACTTAGAAGTATCCCTTGATGTCTACCGCATTATGGGAAGAAGAGACGTCTTCAGTGGAAATAAGGAACTTGCTCTATTCCTGAAACACAGGAAATAATAAGTATTCTGGGCTGAAAATATTCTGAGACCTACTGATGAGGTCTGTCACACGGTGCATGTGGTGTGAGTCAAAGGACAACTTAGAGAATGATAAAGAAATATTTCAGCCTGGCCAGTGTGGCTCAGTGGTTGAGCGTCGACCCTGCACCAAGAGGTCGCCGGTTTGATTCCCAGTCAGGGCACGTGCCCAGGTTGTGGGCCTGATCCCCAGTGGGGGGCGTGCAGCAGGCAGCCAATAGATGCTCTCTCTCATCGATGTTTCCATCTCTCTCTCCCTCTCCCTTCCTCTCTAAAAATCAATAAAAAGAAAAAAAAATTTAAAAAAAGAGAAATATTTCAAAGCAAGCTTCAACACACACTTCCAATGTGGCTGATACAACCATCCTGCGAACAATTAAAACCAGCTCTCCAGGGTCCACACCCAGCGTTCGCTGAGGTATCATCTGAAAACCCAGGCTTCACGCTCTCGTCCAAGAGAAAAGGTGGGGTCCCCAGTTCAGTTCCCACTTCTGTCCGGAGCCCTGGACCCAAACCCCCAGGACCTCTGAGGTCAGTCTGTACTCTGTGATCAGAGAAGGCCTCTCCAAGGAGGTGAGGTTGAAGGTCAAAGGTCAAGGGCACAACAGCCTCCCAGGCACACGGACCAGCTGGCTGGGGCCGGCTCCTTGGGTGGGAAGGGCCTGGTGTGTTGGAAGGACAGAGGATGCCAGGGGCCTGGGCAGAGGGGGTGACGGGAGTGGGACCGGGGCTCCTGAGGGAGGGGTGTCGGGGGGACAGGAACCAGGAGCACTTTGTGGAGGCAGAGGCCACTGGCTGAGGAGAGAAAGGACGGCTGGGAGCACACGGGGGGCGGGGGGCACCCACACGTGCAGGTTTGGAAACGCAGCTTCGAGGTCCCAGGAGAAAGTTCAGGTGGAGACAGCAGAGCGCTGGGTGGGGCCCGGGGCCGGAGGGCAGGGCAGGGCCCTCTGTGAATGGGCAGCTGAAGCCTAACCCCAGCGTGGCCCTGGGAGGGCCTGTGGGAGGTGACTGGGGTCAGGCGAGGTCAGGAGGGTGGGGCCCGCACCGGGCTGGGGGCCCTCGTAGGGCCTGGAGGAGACCAGCGTCCAGGCTGCCACGGGCCGTCCTGGGGAGAAGGCGCCACCTGCAGGCAGGAGTCGGCCTCACCAGGCAGCGCCCCTGGCCTCGGGCTCCGGCCAGAACCCCCCACCCCGCGCGGCCCCTCACCTTGCGCCTTGGTGTACACAGCCACGGCCCCGTCCACCAGGCCCGCGTAGAGGCTGCGCGGCGTGCAGGCCAAGCTCAGGACCGCGGCCTTGCTGGGGGCGAAGAACTGCTGCAGCCGCACCTTCTTGGCGCCCGGGCTGCTCTTGTAGACGGAGATGCTGCGAGAGAGGGGCGCCCTGAGCACCCCCGGAGGGAAGGCGCGGGCGCGGGGAGAGAGGGGCGCCCTGAGCACCCGCGGCGAGAGGGGGGCGCCCTGAGCACCCGCGGAGGAAGGTGCGGCGCGGCGAGAGGGGGGCGCCCCGAGCACCCGCGGAGGGAAGGCGAGGGCGCACGCGGGACCGAGGCCTCTCCACGGGGCGCCACCCCACCCCTTCTAGGAACTTGCACCACGTTTTCAAGACTCCCCCCCTTTGGCCTCTCCCTTGTGTTTAAGGGAGAAGGTCTGGGTCGCAGGGAAACCACCCTCCTGCCTCCCTCCCCCCGGCTGTGTCCGTCCGCGTGGCGGTGTTAGCGCGGACTGTGGCGGTTTGTCCCCAAACACAAGCTTCTGTGGGACCCTCCCCAGCTCCCCCTCTCAGACTGGAGTGACAGCGGCCGAGATGGGGACTCTGGGGGTGAGACCCACCTTCCTTCCTCGGTCCCCAGGCAGACGGTGGGGACGCCCAGTGCGCCCCCGGCCGCGGCCCCGGGCTCCGTGGCGGGGCGGGGCTCCGGGCTCCACTCCGCGGGCGTGTGCACCATGCAGAGGATGCGCGACTCCACGTTGAAGCACTCGGTGACTTTGGGGTTGGAGTTGTGGAGCGAGATGATGGCAATCTGACCCATCTGGCTGGCGCAGCTCCCGATCTGGGCCCGGAGGGACAGGGGACTGAGCCGGGAGCCCACAGCACACGAGACCTGGCCCCGCACCTCGGGACCAGAGCCAGGTCCCACCCGCGAGCCCCGCGCTAGCAGGTCAGGGGCCGTGAACATCCGCTAACAGCCCCTTTCCACGGCGAACTAGGTTATTTTCCCCTTTGAACTGATACCAAGAACAGAGTTTTGAAAGATCACATTTTATATGCTTTAAAAATCAAATACCTTGCCCTATACAGTGGTATTCACACCCAATTTAACGTCTTACAAGGCCGCTTAATCAGTTGCAGGTCATTTCACAGTCCAGTAGACCAGAGAAACCGTAAACTAAGGAACAGGGTTTCCAAGGCGAAGGGAGAGGTGAGCTGCCCCTGGGGTGGCGGAGCGGCCCTCCTGCCCTACACCTGCGCCCAGGTGTCCGCGACCCGCCCTCGGGCTCTGGGGAGCAGTGAGGCCACTCGGCAGAGCTGTCTGATTTGAAGTTAAATATAACCACTTTCTAAGTGGGACACAGTCAGGCCTTGTTAAGGGGAGAGAGGGCCCGGCTCTGGAAGAGGGAGCTGGTGGGTTGGGGTGTTTGCTCTCCCAGACTGCTCTCCCTTCCGGCCAGCTGTGGACGCGCGGGGATCCCCTCGCTATTCTTGCCGGGTTTTCCCCGGTACAGATGAGCCTCCTGCCTGGGCAGCCCTTGGGGAAAGATGAACTGCCTGCCCTGCCCTGGGGCGGGGCAGCTACAGGTGATCAATGAAAAGTCCTCTCTCAGGTCTCCGCCCCCCCCCATGGCGCCCCCTGCTGGGAGCAGGACCTGGGTCCTGGGGAGGGGCCCTCCTGGGGGAGCTGGGGAGGGACACAGACACCAGGCCCCCGCCAGGGAGATGCCCACTGCCCGCCCCAGTGCCGTGTTCTGCTGGAGCCCATTCCCGTAACTGCCAAGTCTCCAGCGTAAAAAGCCGGCAGTGTCTCGGAAGGGGGCGAAAGCCACCCACACGGAAGAAACACTTATCCAAGGGCTGGTTAGGCTGGTTGTCTTTGGACTGAATTTAATCTGGCAAAGTTTTGGAGGAGAAAAAAAAAAAAAGAGAAAAACATTTTTATTCCTAAGAATCCGACATCTTTTCCAGAAGCGATGGGCTCCCTGTCATGACGACGTGGACAGAGAACCCAGGACACACTGGCCCCTGCAGCTGCAGCCGGTCCAGGCCTGCGCCCCTGCCCCCTCCCCCAGCTCGAGAGGCCTTACCCACAGGAAGCCCTGGGCCGCGGCTGTCGGGTCCGGCTGGCCCCCACGACCCTGGCAGGGCTCCGGGTTGTAAACCGCACATTCGATCTAAGGAAGAGAACCAACCGCCCGCGTTACACTGGGACAAGAAGGCGTCGATGATGCCAGACCAATGGCCGGGTTTCGACCCTCCACCAGAGAAACCCCAGGTCGCTACTCACCCAACGGGGAAGATTAAGGTCACGTCCTAGACATTAACTTTCAGAAGCGAATATCTAAGTGGGTGCTGCCATCTCTAGTCTTTTATCTTCAGACCCCAGTGCCCGCTGGGACGGGCCATGCACGTGTCCCAGGCAGGCTCAGCTCCTGGGTGGAGGGGGCGAGGCCCCTGTCCCCTTCCTGCCCACTGCATCTCCCTTGGGAAGGGTCCCCTTCGACCTCTGGGTGTGGGTGTCGCCGGAGACCAGAGTGAGAAGGAACATCCCTCTCCTTTCTCACAGACGCACCCCAGGCCGAGGGCAGGAGCCACCTCTCGGACCCGAGGCCCTGCATCAGGACCCTGCCCCTTGCTCGTCACTCACCCCCTAGCGGGACGAGGACCCCGCCTGTCACCTTGAACTCCTGCTGCTTGGCCACCGTCACTGGCATGCGTCCCACGAGGAGGGGGTGTCTCTCCTTTTTTATCTGGTTCCCGTCGTCTTCCATACAGAACCAGCCCATGTGGTTGTCCTCCTCTGCGAGGTCGGGAAAGGGGCAAGAACAGCAGTGACCGGCTGCCCACGTTGTGCCGGGGGGGGGGGTCCCAGTCTGTTCCTGGAGCAGGGACACCTTTCCTCCCAGGACGGCCGCACAGCACTGCCCCGTGGCCACACGCCAGTGACAGACCGTGGCCTCACCACGTGAACACCCCGGGCTATGTTTGCTCATGTTTCTAAAGCGGCGGAGATGTTTGAATTCAGGATCCCGCGAGCAGTCTTAGAACAGGGAGCCTGTTTTCCCACCCAAGGGAGCGCTCGCCCCGGCCGGGAGCATGGCGCTCGCGTGGAGACAGAAGGGGCTTGTTTAGAACCAGCGTCCCCTCTGCAGAGAGCCGCCCTCTGCGGAGTCACCCTGAGCCCGGCCGGCAGATCACACCACTGCGCCGGGGGAGAGGAAGGCGGGTCACCGTCCACTCCCTCGCCCTCGGGCTCGGCCCGCAGCTCACAGCGGGGCTTCGTGTGGCTCCCACAGACACAGCTCCTCTGGCTGCTACTGTCGGGGGATCGCGTGACCAGGGGACCTGTCTGCCTCCGAGAGGACCCGCCCGAGCCCGGCGTGAGCCGAGTGTGAACGAGGAGCTCCCACGCCGACCTGTCAACACGGCCAGCGGGATGTGCAGGGCGGGGCAGAAGGGGGCTCACTGTCCGTGTGGAAAACGATACAGTAAGTTGTAATAACACTGTGAACCTGTTTCTCCCCGCCCCGAGTGTTCCAAAAAAGACTAAAAGGACACAGGAGCAAGAAACCGATGATGACGCCCAGCCGCCTGTGCTGGCCAGGACATCCAGCGCACAAGCGGGTGACAGAGCAGAGGCCGCGACAAACCCTGGTTCCTGCCCTGCGGACCCAGACCCGACGGGACCAGACCCGACTCCTGGCTCAGGGTGTTGCTTGTGCCAAACACAGATTGGCCAACACGGGTTTTTCTGTAACAGTGAGAGCTTTTCCTGACGCCCCCTAAATGCCAAACTGTCCCACGCCTTGCGCGGGGGTCAGCTTCCCTGTTGAAAAGCGCTCTCGGGGCGTGGAGGACCACGGTCAATCCCTCTGCAGCCTGACTGTCCTCTGGGGCACCTGTGTCATCGTGCAGGAAGCTCCGGAGGACGGGAAGCGCGCCGCCCGCGCCCGCCCGCGCCCGTCGAGGGGACGCCAGCGCTCACCCAGGGCCAGCTGGGCCAGCTGCAGGCTGCTGAGCCACGACTCCTTCAGGACAGGCGCAAAGGTGCTGAACACGGCCGAGAAGAAGGTGGGCCGCCCGGACCTGCCGGAGGCACAGAGACCCACGTCACGGACACGCTCAGCCGCACGCTCCCCAGCGCCGGCCGGGTCAGCGGCCAGGAGGCGCGAGGCGGGCCCGTCGGGCGCTCACTTGTCCTGCTTGCCCGGGAGCTGCAGCTGCAGCCGGCAGCAGTCGGCCGCTCGGATCTCCTCCTCCTTCTTCAGCACCAGTCTCTGCAGCCCTGCCGTCCAGTCGTGGGCCACGGCCTGGTTCAGGTTCTGGCAGGGGACGCAGCCCACGGCAAGTGTTAGTGAGACAGGCCACGGGGCGGGGGGGGCTGCCACGTGGAAAACTCGTGTCTGATGACGAGAAACAAACCCTGGGAGCCGGGCTGCACGGTGGGCGCCGAGGTGCTTCTGCCGTGGACCCAACACAGGTCGGCAAAGTCCCACTGACCGGGTCCCCCCCCCCCCGTCCAACCAGGGAAAACAACCTGCTCGGTCTTACTGAGAACGTGATCTAAGCTTGCAACACGCGCAATGCCACACGAGGTGCCACACGAGGTGCCACGTGAGGTGCCACGTGCAGTGCCACGTGCTGGCCACCAGTTAGAAGTGGGAAAAGAATCTGCCACCACGTGGCTCCGGCTAGTACCTGGTAGTGTCCCTTCAGGTCCCCGATGAGCTGCGTGATCTGACCGACCACGTTGAGGTCGTGCAGTAGGTCCTGCAGGTCCTGGTACAGCTGCCCGGGCCCCACGTAGACTCTGTCTGCGGAAGGAGCAAATGGAAGGCGGCCACGCGTCAGGCGGGGGCCGAGGGGAGAAGACACGGACGTAAATTCCAGCTGATTTCCAGTTTTTAAAAAGTAAATATTTTCAAGCATTTAGAAATTGTACCTTTCCTTTCTATTTTGAAATAATTTTAGATGTATGGGAAAGTGGGGCTGCCCGCGGTTAAAATCCTAGGGAACCACAGCACCTCTGTCAGCAGGGAAGCCACCCCGATCAGCGCCCCTCCCCCCAGCATGTCCCCACTGCCCAGAGCTGGGGCTTCCTGGCCCTGGGTCCACCCGGGCCCTCGACATGGAGCTGGTTCTCCTCCGGAACCCCCTCAATGTAGGCCAGCCCCGAGGCATCTTCGTCTTTCGTGGCCTTGAGGTGTTGAAGGACACTGGTAAGTTTTGTTTTGTTCTTGTTAATCCTCACCCGAGGACATTTTTCCATTTTTTGTTCAGGTAGAGCGGGAGGGAGAGAGAGAGGGAAACATCGACGTGAAAGGGACACATCGAGTGGCTGCCACCCGCACGACCAACCAGGGCCGGGGACAAACTGCAACCGAGGTACATGCCCCGAGCGGGAACCGAACCCGGGTCTCTCCAGACCGCAGGCCGACGCTCTAACCGCTGAGCCAAACCGGCCAGGGCCCATTGAGTTTTTTTTTTCGTAAGAGAGACAAAGGGAAGGAGGGAGAGAGAAACAGTGATGTGAGAGGGACACATCGATCGGTTGCCTCCCGCATGACCTTGAGGGGTTCAGGATTGAACCTGCAACCCAGACACGAGCCCCCAACCAGGAATCGAACCCGCAACCCTTCAGCCCACAGGCCAGCGCTCCAGCCGCTGAGCCAAACCAGTCGGGGCACTTCTAGGTTCTTCTCGAGACCGTCCCACGATTCAGAGCTGACGCCTGTGCGTCACTTCTCGTGGTGTTTGGACAACACGGTGGAGTCAGTGCTGGTGGCGAGAGGTCCCAGGCTCGCCCGACACGAGAACGAGCTCCCAGGCGCCTTCTCTGAGTCAAACCAAGAAAGAGGGATGAAGCGAGGTCTCGGGCCGGCGAGGACAGCCAGCAGGCTGGGCTGGGGCACTGCCCGAGGCCACATGGCGCGGGCGGAGCTCCGAGCGGCTCCGGGGTGCAGAGACGCCGGCCTCTCGTCCCTTCTCTGTAGCAAGGTGCTGCCCGAGTCGCCGATTCCAGGTCCAGGCAGGAGAGGAGGCAGGTGGAACAGGGCAGCCGCTCCCTGGACATGGCGCCTGGGCCGGCCCGGCTCACGGTCCCGCGACCTGCCCACAGTTCACCTGGCGCAGCCGTCACACACGGTGTGTTAATAGCTAAAAGTAGTTTGAAGTGTAAACATGCTGTGAATTAACGTAAAGAAGTCGGTACATAGAACCAGGGGGACGGTGTGCGGCCGCCCAGCAGTCGAAGGTGCTGCTGTTGACGTTGGAGTCCTAACAGGTGTGACGGGGCCCCGGGTCCTACCCCGTGCGGGTCCCGTCCTCCACGGACGTGGTGCACGTGTGTGAAACGGAAAGACACGGGACGTCCCGTCCACGTAGGTCAGATCCCTGTGAATCCGGAGACGCCTGACGCCATTGGACTTGGCCGGCACCGCAGGTTACAGACGGATCTCGACGCGCTCAGGCGGCCTGGCTTTCGTCACCGATCTAGACAGATTCTACGATTGTTACAGCTCAAGTATCTTCATAAAATTTCACAGGAGGAGGAGGGGATAAGCCGACCCAATGATCACACGCATCAACTGAATTTCTCCTTAACGGTAGATAATTCATGTTTATAATAAAACGTTTGTAATTTAAGGCATTTTGGCCAGTAACTTAGATATGTACCATTTAAAATCCATTTTTATTGTGAAATATTGCAGATGTCCCCCCGTGGGCCCCCGTGAGCTTTAGAGGACAAACCGGTGAGCCAGCCTTGTGATGAAGTCACAGGCACGACAGTAACTTTACTCTTCTGCCCACATCTCCTCTTGAGTCCTACACTCGGCACAGAGTAAAAGTGATCCTGTGACTTGGGGGCTTGAATTTGGAAAGAAATATTTCCTCCTCGGGCTGAAGCCACCATAACGCAGAGAACACGCCAGTGAAACCGGCGTCTCCGAGGTGGACGGACAGCCGCGCAGGGAGGCCCTTAGAGACGGCTGGGTCGGCGTCGAGTTTCCTGGTCGGACAGCGTACCTCATAAAGAGCGTGCTGGGGACACAAGGAACAGGAGGCAGACGTCCTGCTGAGCAGAGACCACGCCCACGGAGACAGTGTCTCCTGGGTCACCAGGCACAGCGGCGAGCGGCTTCTCCAACGTCACTTGAGGCTGAGCAAAGGATTTGTTTTTCTGGCCGAATGTATCGAAACAGCAAATCGGCACATAGAAGCTTCTGCTGAGTGACCTCCAGGCCGAGTCACAGCGCCCAGCAGGCTGAGTGACGGCCCTGCCCTGTGCAGAGGCGATCACCCACGTCCGAGGGCCCCTCTGGGTCCTTTGTCACCACGGGGCTTCCGTCTCCATGGAAACCTCTGCCGCTGGGGGAACACGCGGGTTGCCCAGTGGATGGAATCCAGGGGCAGACAAGGGACGACTGTGTGGGCGGGATTCCTGGGCAGCTTGGTCCTGGGAAACCTCCGCGTCCGGCGGGCTCTCAGCAGAGGTGTTGTGGAGGCTGAGCACGCCCCGGGCGGCGAGAGGGGGGGCGCTGGGCCGAACGTGGAGCCCACAGGGACCAGGACTCCGCCCCTCAGGCTCCAGGCCTCAGGCCCTCCCTTCCAGAAGTCTGTGTTTTAATCTAGAAAAGTTCCACATCCCAAAATCAAGCAGCAAACTTATTTTCACTGAAGGAGAACTAAGGAGACTGTTCGAGGCGCCAGAGCAGACCCGCAGGCTGGCCACGTCTTGTCTCCATAGTTGCCCGAGAACGTCCATGGTTCTGGGAGCCCCGGGACTCAGGAAAACCTGGACGCTCGTAGGTTACACGGGAGACACGGCGCTGCACCCCGCACCCCCGCACGCTGTTCCAGCCCCCCTCCAGATGAAGGCACACAGCTCCCCTCCCCGGAGCACCCAGGGAGCCGACCTCTCCTCCACCAGGGGCCCTGCGATGTTCAAGCCGCCCTGAACTGCGCACCTCGAATCACTGAAGTCACTACAACGGGCCCCGCCCCCTCCCGCCCGGGCATCCCCAAGGTGAAGTTCAGCGGGGCAGGGTCAGGGATGAGGTCAGCAAAGCTTCAACAGGACACAGTGCTGTCCCTGCCCTGGGACACGGAGCCCCGCTGACAAAGCCTGGCGGGAGGGGAGGGGAGGGGAGCGTCTGATCAACCTCGACACTGGTCGCTGTGCTCACAGTGTGATCCCCGGAACCACGCCGCCCAGCACGCTGCTGGCCACGCCCCGAAGAGTGGGACGCGGGGCTTTCACGGAAGCAGTCTCATGTTTTAAAATGACGGCGACGGCTTCTCAGTCCGCCTCCACTTTGGACGGATCGGATCTGGGTCCCAACCCCCGGTCCAGCTCGCCCCAGCCGAGCGCACTTCTGTCCGAGAACCAGAGCCTCTCCCTGCAGCTTCTCTCTCGTCTCTGCTCCTTCCTGGGCTTGTCCTTTGTCAGTGTGCTTGTTTGGGGGGCTCGGAACTTTCAGGGGGAGTCCCCCACTTTCTGCCCTTCCCCCGCCCATCCTGCTCTCTGTGGAAGGACCTGCCCAAACTGGTTCCCAGGGGCCTGTTCCCGCTTCTCGCTCCTGGAGCCTCCTGCTCAGAGCTGAAGGACCCGTGGCCTCTGCTCGCTCACTGTGGTCATGACGGCAAACTCCCTTGTCCCCAAGTCCTGTCCCTCCTGCTAGCACCTCCCTACGGCCAGGCCACAGGGGTCTGGGCACGTGCAGTGGTGTCAGCAGGGGGGGCACCAAGTCACTGCTTTGGGGACGGAAAGAGACCCTGAAATGCCAGAGGACCCACAGACACCCACAAGCACCCACAGACACCCACAGGCACCCACAGACACCAACAGACACCCAGGGGCACCCACAGGCACCCACGGACATCCACGGGCACCCACAGACACCCACAAACATCCACAGACACTTACGGACGCCCAAGGGCACCAACAGACACCCACGGACACCTAAAGACACCCACAAACACCCACAGACACCCACAGACACCCACGGGTACCCACGGACATCCACAGACACCCACGGACACCTAAAGACACCCACAAACACCCACAGACACCCATGGGCAGCCATGGACATCCACAGACACCCAAAGACACCCACAAACACCCACGGACATCCACAGACACCCATGGACACCTAAAGACACCCACAAACACCCACAGACACCCACAGGCACCCACGGGCACCCACGGACATCCACAGACACCTACGGACACCTAAAGACACCCACAAACACCCACAGACACCCACAGACACCCACAGGCACCCACGGACATCCAGAGACACCCACGGACACCCACAGACACCCACGGACACCTAAAGATACCCACAAACACCCACAGACACCCACAGACACCCACGGACATCCACAGACACCCACGGACATCAAAAGACACCCACAAACACCCACAGACACCCACGGGCACCCACAGACACCTACGGACACCCAAGGGCACCCACGGACATCCACAGACACCCAAAGACACCCACAAACACCCACGGACATCCAGAGACACCCACGGACACCTAAAGACACCCACAAACACCCACGGACATCCACAGACACCCACGGACACCTAAAGACACCCACAAACACCCACAGACACCCACGGGCACCCACGGACATCCACAGACACCCACGGACACCTAAAGACACCCACAAACACCCACAGACACCCACGGGCACCCACAGACACCCACGGGCACCCACGGACATCCAGAGACACCCACGGACACCCACAGACACCTAAAGACACCCACAGACACCCACAGACACCCACGGACATCCACAGACACCCACGGACACCAAAAGACACCCACAAACACCCACAGACACCCACGGGCACCCACGGACATCCACAGACACCTACAGACACCCAAGGGCACCCAAGAAAAGTTACGCGCAGACGAACACTACAAGGCTCAGGCACGCTCCACGCGGTGCTTTTCAGGGATGTGAAGCTTCCTGCCCACAGCTCCGGCCAGGCCCCACGGAGGGCGGCCACGCAGCTCCCACGGGCACGGGTGGCTGGGCAGTGGCGCCCCACTCTGTCTTCAACGCTGAATAACAGACCCTACTTCCCAATACTGACTCTCAGAACAGTCGTCCAAGCAGCGGAAAAGTCCCACAGCACCAGCTGAGAGCAAGGGGTCTACCTCAGCTCCTCACAAACGCAGGGCGAGAGGCATGGGGCGCAGGGGGAGCCAGGGCTGTCGGGAAATCTGGGGCCATCCCACAGAATCGGGGCCGCTCGGCCCAGCACATGGAGACTCTCGGCTGGGACACGGCACAGCCTGGGACCTGTGGGCGGCAGCCGGGGCCAGACTCCGAGACCCTGGACCTGGCGGCTCAGCACCTGCCCGGACAGCACACCGCCCGTCCCTGAGGGCTCTGGCGGGTCAGAACCATCTGCAAACGTGCCAACGACCTGCGGGCACGCCCAGCGTCTCGGTAAACGCCGACAGCGTCACATCCCGTCACCGGGCCGGCAAAGCCCGGAGAATCCGACCTGGGTGTCTTCCTGCCCACACAGCACCCCAACCCCTCGCCATTGGAAGCCAGCGTCACCCCCTCAGCCACCGCCCTGCTCAGCCCTCTCAGGGACCAGCTAGTCGCTGGCTGTCTTTCTCTCGCTCTGGCTTCGTCCGTGGTGTCGACCACGCATGCCCTGAAACCACGGGAGGCGGTCCTCGGACAAAGGCGGAGCGAGGTCTCGGTGGGGGAGTGTGCGCCGGTCACTCAGGTGTTCAGCCCTGCCTCCCGGAAGGACGCCGCCACCGGAGCGGGAGCTGCCCAGTCCCCGCAGGACCTGGAGGCTCTCTGGGCTCCTCTCCCGTGGGCGGGCTGGATCTCACCAGCGATGTGGGGGGGGGGGGGGCACGGCCGGGGCATCTAGTCCCCTACCCACTGACCACGCCTTGGACACGCCTGCTCTCTCCCCTGCCCCGGGCTCCTCTGAATCCCGGGGAATGTGGGCACCCGGCGAAGAGTTCAAGCTTCTGAGGGACCCTCCGAGTGCCTGAGAAACAGCCTGGAAGGTGACTGCGCACTTGGCACTGTTCACTGAACGTGTGATGGGACTTCCGGGAAGTCCCTTTTCCTGCGATCCGCACGCTCTGAAATTCAGGGGCAGGGGCCAGGCAGCGATGAGGCTCAGCCTGGTTTCATTTGGATTTAAAAATAAAACATAGGGGAGAAGGAGAAAGTAACAGCTACTGAGTTCAAGCTCTACAGTCTGAAGACCATCCAGAAACAACGGCTACAGCTTATGCAACTGTTGCGGTCTTTCCAAAGTGCGTGACCCCTCCCCCCCCTTTACCCCGGGAAGTCCATAGCCGAGGGCCACCGCCACGCGCTGGGGAGGTGCACACGCAGGACCAGAGCCCCAGTCCTGACTGTGATGGGGAACAGCCCAGACGCAGGGGGCTTCACCGTGAACCCAAGGTGCCCATGGCCCGCCCAGGGCTGAGTCCCAAGGTCAGACCGATCAGGCAGGTCAACCCGCCAACGCTGACGACCGCGTCTCCCACCCGCTTCCCACCCCAGGGGGTCTGCAGACACGTCATGACCCAGCACTTACGTGGCTTCGTGCCGGCCACCACCGCCAGGCTCTCGGGCGGGTGCTCGGCTGCACCCTCGGTGTCCCCGTACTCCACCACCGCCACCTGCCCCAGGGGCACACTCCACTTCAACAGGTGCCTCTGGCCGGCCGACAGAAGCGTGTGGCTGTCCTGGGAGTTCCTGCAACAACAACCGTCAGCGATGACGGGAGGTCGCGAGACTTTCACCCTCAGGAACTCCAGTAGGAGACCCCGGAGCTGTCCACACATCCCGCCTCCGCGTCGCAGGGGCCGGTGCCATCGCCGCATCACGAGCCCCCAATCAGATGAGCAAGCAGAGGTCAGGGGAGCCCCTGGGGGAGAACGGGGAGCCCCAGAGGAGAATGGGGAGCCCCTAGAGAACGGGGAGCCTCTGGAGGAGAACAGGGGAGCCCCTGCAGTGTAACACCTTCCGAGAGCCGGGAAGGGCTAGTCGGCCGAGGCTGGGCGGCTATCTGAGCAGATGCCGAGCGTCCGGCCACTACTGCCCACCAGGAACTCCTGTGCGACCCCGTCACGCTTCACGAGGGTCAGCTCTAAAACCTTCCTTACTCTTAGCTACGGCGTCACCCTTTTAATAAAATCAAATTGTACCAGGTCGCCCCGGCCAGCGTGGCTCAGCAGTTAGAGCGTCTGTCCTCACACCGAAGTGTCATCGGTTTGATTCCCGGTCAAGGACACGTACCTGGGTTGCAGTTCGGTCCCCAGCTCCAGGCAGGGCGCATGCGGAGGCAACCAATCGACAAGTCTCCCTCACGTCGATGTTTCTCTCTCCCTCTCACCCTCCACTCTCCAAGAATCAATGGAAAAATATCCTCGGGTGAGGACTACAAACAAAATCATACCCTGTCCTCCACAATTACAATTCTCGCTGAGTATGCAAAATTAAATGGAAAAAAACCATGACCCATACAGAGTTCCCCTTCATCACACGTGGAGCAAACACACAAAGCAACATGAACACACGTGCAGTCGGACGAGAACACCCAGACACAGCCGTTCTTCTTACTTCTCACGATGCTTTTCCTCAAGGCATGTGCGTGTATGCGTGTGTGTATGTGTGTGTGTGTGTCTGTATGTGCGTGTGTGCACGTGTCTGTATGTGCATGTGTGCACGTGTCTGTATGTGCGTGTGTGTGTATTAACCAACATGTGGAGGTCATCCCTCACACCAGAGCTCACGGGGAGCCAGGGGGCACTGGAGCCCCCTCACCCCGCTGACATCAGAGGATCCATTTCCGTGTCCAGCCCACTTGGGCTGAATTCGAGGGCACATCTCGAAGATGGAGACGCCGCTGACATTGGACCAAAACCCTCTCCCTGCTGGGGGGCTCCACCCCGCTGGGGGGGCGCCACCCTTCTGGGGGGCTCCACCCTGCTGAGGGGGCTCCATCCCACTGGGGGGGCTCTATCCTGCTGGGGGTCTCCACCCTGCTGAGGGGGATCCATCCCACTGGGGGGCTCTACCCTGCTGGGGGGGCTTCATCCCGCTGGGGGGCTCCACCCTGCTGGGGGGGCTCCACTCTGCTGAGGGGGCTCCATCCCGCTGGGGGGGCTCCATCCCGCTGGGGGGGCTCCACCCTGCTAGGGGGGCTCTACTCCACTGAAGGGGGCTCCACCCTGCTGAGGGGGCTCCACACTGCTGGGGGGGCTCCACTCTGCTGAGGGGGCTCCATCCCGCTGGGGGGGCTCCACCCTGCTAGGGGGGCTCTACTCCACTGAAGGGGGCTCCACCCTGCTGAGGGGGCTCCACACTGCTGGGGGGCTCCATCCCGCTGGGGGGGCTCTACACAGCTGAGTGTGCCCAGTCGGGGTCCACAAGAAACACACTCATCAGACACACTGACAGAAGCAGCGAGGAGGGAGGATCTGCACACGGGGGGTCTGCACTCTGCAGAGTCGGGGGGTCAGGAGGAGGGCAACCCCGCCTCCAGGCCCAGCACCCAGCCCACGTCTGAGGAAAAGGCCCCCGCCGCCCTCTCCTGCCAGCACTGACTGGGGACGAACGCGGGACCACTGGGGACAAGCATGCTTGGTCGTCACGCGGTCTCCCCCTGCCCGGGACGGTCCGGAGCTCTGCGCACGGCAGGGGCTGAGTGAGAGTCAGTGGGGCCCTCGCGAAGCCCCGGGAGGAGCGCGTCCTTACCGGGCGCTGACCGTGACGCACATCAGCACGTCGTTCAGCATCAGCAGGCGGCGCTCTTTGGTCTTGACGACTTCTCCGCGGTCGTTGTAGACGGTTTCGATCATGTCGTCGGATCGGACGAGGTACCGGTTTCCGCTGCTGAGAAGCTGGATATTCAAAGTCACACGTGACCCAGTGACCACGGCCGCGTTTGTCGGGAAAGAGAAGGGTGAGGGGTCTCCACGGCGCGCAGGCGGGGCCGCGCTTCACGGCCGTCTTTAGGGGGGACCACACTCCCCTTTGTGAGGACAGGTTTCACAGACAGGGTTTCGGCCACTCTGAAGGTGACAGGACCCTGACTCCCCGTGGACACGTCTGTGGCTGAGAGACATCGACGGGGCACCTGTCAGCTGCCTATTCCTTCCGCCTACGTGACTTCGAGTAAACACTCCGTTCCTCCCGGACCTGCCCGCAGCTGGTCAGCCCCCTGCACTGACCACTGTCCACAGGAGCGTTCGTCCTGAAATTGGCTCTGTTGTCAGGTTACTCCCCCGCGGACGGCACGGCTCCATCAGCCACTCCTCCGGAGACTTATTTCAGTCCCCGGAGCCCACAGACACCCGGAGTCCCCTGGGAGGGAGCTTTGTGTCACTGTGAAGTGACGACTTACAGTGGGTCCGCGCCCTAGAGAGTCCGCGCCCTCAGCGCACGGTCTCGCCGTCCCTGACTGCCCACGGGAAGAAGGCGTCACCCACCCTCGCGGGCCCCTGACCCTTTTCCAAAGCAAGGACCATCGGGAAGCATGACGTTAAACAGAGACGCTTGTGTAATGCGACTGTCCGCCCAAAAAATCCCTACGTCTTCTGGAGAATTAGAAAAAAGTCTCTTGCTCAAAATGTATCACAATAAACTTCTTTGAGATAAAAGACAGAGTGTCACTGAGGGTTAGGAAATTCACCCTCCTGACCAACCGTGAACATTCCATGTAGCTATGTAACCGGCTCATGCGAGTGAACCCCTTCCTGTGAACCGGGGACACTGGGCGTGACCAGGCACCGTCGCGGACAGGAGGCTGGAACACAGCTCCCAGGGGGCGCGCACCTGCGTCTCTCTGCCCGTGAGGACGGCTGCGTCCACGCACCGCCCCGACAAACGGAACACGTCAATGTATACGGTGCGTTAGCGAGGAGCATCGAGAATGGAATCATGCACTTGTAAGCACAGTTCAGCGGAAAGAGGGGCCCTCCACCTTTCTGGGGGTCCTAAGTCCATTCGAGGACCGATGAACCCGTGAACCCCTTTTCTGAGGAACGCGCAGACTCCGAAGCGTAAGCGGTTCCGGGCCTGGGGACCCGCCATCAGCTCCCCGGGAAGAGGCTGGGCCCCGGGAGTTGCCCCGAAGGCCCCAGGGGTTAGTGAGAAGCGCTGACACCGGGAGGGCTCGTTAGTGAAGCAGGCGAGCTCAGCACAGACGTGAACGGAACCTCAACCTTGTTCAGGTATCGCTCGTTTATGGCCTTTGCGATCTGCTTGATTTCACAGCGCTGGTCAGTGTCTCTCTTCCTCTCGTTTAATTTCTCCGCTAGCGTCTCGAGCTCCGTCAGCGCCATCTGGAGAGGCAGCCTGTCCGGGTGTCCGCGGGGCGTGTTCTTCAACATGTCCTTGGGGAGAAACGAGGTGGGGCGTCACGACCCACAGGGGGGCCTTGCAGCCCAGCGGCCGCATCACCCGCCCGGCCACGGGTGTGTGGAGGACGTCAGCCACTTCTGGGGGAACAGCGCCCGCGGGACAGACAGACCAAGTGAACCACGACCCGGCTGGACCTTCAGCAGCTCCTTTTGCAGAAACAAAATTAACCTACTCAACAACATCGCTGACGGGAACAGTCGCATCTTCCTGCAATAGAAGACACGATAAATACCTCTGCTCCCACCACAAAGGACTCGGAGCCGACGCAGAGACCAGGGATGGCCACAGCGTTTACCAAGGCGGCTGCGCTGGGACTTACGTGGCCTGGTTACATGCCCTGGTTACACGCCCTGGCTACACGGCCTAGTTACACGGACTGGTTACACACCTGGTTACACACCTGGTTACACACCTGGTTACATGCCTGGTTACACGCCTGGCTACACACCTGGTTACACTCCTGGCTACACACCTGGTTACATGCCTGGTTACACACCTGGCTACACACCTGGTTACACGCCTGGCTACACACCTGGTTACACGCCTGGCTACACGCCTGGTTACATGCCTGGTTACACACCTGGCTACACACCTGGTTACACGCCTGGCTACACACCTGGTTACACGCCTGGCTACACACCTGGTTACACTCCTGGCTACACGCCTGGTTACACGCCTGGTTACACACCTGGCTACACACCTGGTTACACGCCTGGCTACACACCTGGTTACACGCCTGGCTACACGCCTGGTTACACGCCTGGTTACACACCTGGCTACACACCTGGTTACACGCCTGGCTACACACCTGGTTACACTCCTGGCTACACGCCTGGTTACACACCTGGTTACACACCTGGCTACACACCTGGTTACACGCCTGGCTACACACCTGGTTACACTCCTGGCTACACGCCTGGTTACATGCCTGGTTACACACCTGGCTACACACCTGGTTACATGCCTGGTTACATGCCTGGCTACACACCTGGTTACACTCCTGGCTACACGCCTGGTTACATGCCTGGTTACACACCTGGTTACACTCCTGGCTACACACCTGGTTACACGCCTGGCTACACACCTGGTTACACTCCTGGCTACACACCTGGCTACACACCTGGTTACACGCCTGGCTACACAGCCTTCCTCCTGTGCTCTGGTCCCTGTGACACGATCTCCCCGCACCCTCCACTCACCTGGTGAATTTGCCCCAAGGTGGCCAGAGCACTAACTGTCTACAGGCTTATCCGACGTCTCTTCCTCGCTCCCTACGACCTGCATAGCGTGGGGCCAGGTCCTTCCCGCCGCTCGCGCCCCCAGAGCTCGCGGTGTCGGCACAGACCGACAGCCCAGGAAGGACTCGGCAACCAAAGGAGTAAAACACCGCTTCTGGACGTTTTGATTTTAGAGAAATAATGGCTCTCGTTATGCTTATCTGAACAATAACGACACACCGTGGGAAATGCAAGTGACAAAAGAGACTAAGATGAAAAATGACGTCCGCGCCTACGCGCAGAAATAGCAGCGCTCATATTTGGAGCGTATCCTTTTCCGTGTTTCTGGGACTGCTTTCGTTTCATGAGCGGTTCCACAGATGGGGCTGTTTGCAAAGGAAACGAGGCCCCCAGGGCAGGGGCCTGGGCTACTTCCCGCCGCCGGCTCCTCCCAGGGACGCTCTCGCCCAGGAGCCCAGCGCAGCCCACTCATCAGACCCCCAGGAGCGGCTGCCCCGGCGTCCGCGAGGTGGGTGCCGGCCCCACGCAGTAGCTCGGTCACTCTCGTGGTGGACAGCGTGGCCCTGGAGGGCAGCAGACGGCCCAGCACCCAGGGGGATGGTCCTGATGTGACCCTTCCTGGCTGCCGGCTGGCGAGCGGAGCTGAGGACCCCTGGCTGACAACCGGAGGGAGGCAGCCTGCTCCTGACCATGACCTCCCGTCCGCGGCCCGCCTGGCGACGGGCCCTTGGTGGGCGCCATGTGCGGTCAGGCCGGGGCACAGGGAGAGCACTGACCACCGGGCTCCGGGTCAGGCCCGGGGCCATCGCGCAGGGAGCGGGCAGCTGTGTGCCCGGCCCCGGCCCAGCCCGCTCCCCAAGCCCAGAGCTGCTGCCTGTAGAGACCCAGCTCGGCCTCGGCCCTGTCACGCTGTGGGCACAGAGCCCAAAGTGCTCGGAATTTCTGAGGGCGGGGAGAGAGCCCAGCCTGGCGCCCCTGGGTTCACGCAGTGTGTGACCACTGATGCCCCGAGGCTTCAGGGTGGGGCTGGCAGCCCCGGGGCCAGCAGCTCAGAGGCTGGGACTTTCGGCCCACGTCTGACCCCGTGAGTGACCTCCGGAGCTCTGGGAGCCTGGCTGGCCAGTCACGGAGCAGGCGGAAGGGGCGAGGGGACCCCCAGCTGGTAGCCAGGTCGGACAGAACGGGGTAACCTGGGACCCACTACCACCTTTGGCAGCTGAAGTGGCACAGAACCCTCAAGCTTCGGGGTCTGACACTCTCGGGGTGCTGTGACGGAGCTGAACTGCAGGACACAGGCCGCAGGGGCCAGGCCGGCGGGAGGAGGGGCTGAGAGGCGGCCGCAGGGGTCGGGGTACCTGGAGCAACAGGATGAACTGCGGGAACCTCTGCACGGGCTTCATCATGAGGCTGAAGAGCGGGACGCGGTCGGGGCTGGACTCCTGGCTCTGCTGTGGGGAGACGGGTCTCAGCACCTCCGGGCGGGACCGTGGCTTCCGGCGCCCGCCCAGGACAGCCGTGGGGCCCAGGCACCGCTCCGGGGGGGCTGCGTCGTCGGCGGACGCTTCACCCAGCTGGCCTCCAAAGGGTCTGCACCTCCTGCCCCCTGCAGTTCCTCCATCCGCCTCACGCCACCCGGCCCGACAGTGGTGGCTGGTTTCCGAGTCGGGTCTTTGACTGTTTTGCTCCGAGTTCTGGGAGCACCTGTGGCGGTTGGGGGGGCTTGTCCGTGTGTGAATCAGTCAGTCCCCTGAGGGCTGAGTCCCTTTCTGAGGTTCTGCACCCACAGGAGGGGGGCAGGGACGAGAAACAACCCCCAGAACCCCGAGGCAGCCGAGCCCGAACCCAGCTGGGTCCTCTGTGGTGTCGCTGCCCACCCTGCCCCGGAGGAGCCAAACCCCTGCTTCCGCTGAGCCCCGGGCGGGAAGTCACGCGATGGCCCCCACGTCCAGGTTCTGGCCGAGCGGCCCCAGGAGAGGCTCCGGCAGAAATCACCCACGTTTTTCCCCCGAGAGGAAGACAGCAGAGAACCTCAGCTCTCAAAGCCGGACCGGTTTCACCTCCGGGACACCCAGCCGGCCACCCATCGGGCCCCTGCGGCGGGAGGAGGCCGAGGGAGCGTTTCTGCTCCAGCGAAGCCTGTGGCTGGTGGGTGCTCCCTGCGCTCACACCCTCGGGCGGCGGGTTTCCGAGCATCCAGTTCAAGCAGCAGGGACACAGGGGCTCACGGTTCCACATCGTAAACTGCGCCTCACGGAAATGGGACCGACCCGTGGACGGCCCAGCCTGGGACGGGGTGCCCTGCGGCTGACCAGGGGGCACAGGTCAACATCCCTTTGGAAGACCCGAGCAGGCCCCTCCTGACCGCGGCCCCAGCTGGGCGCCCCCTGGGGGTGCTCAGGCTCTGACCCAGGGCCACAGTCTCAGTCACTCCGGCTACTGCGTCCGTTGTCCTTCGACTCGAGATCTGACCCTAACTCCTGGCCGTCCACCCAGCCGGCCACACTCCAAGGATGAGCACGTAGAGCATTTTGTCTGTTTTTTTAATCCTCACCTGAGGATATTTTTCCATGGATTTTTTTTTTCAGATGGGGGGTCAGAGATGGAGAGAGAAACATCGGTGTGAGAGGGACACACTGACTGGCTGCCTCCCGCACGACCCGGCCAGGGCCAAGGATCAAACTGCAACGGATACCTGCCCTTGACCAGGAATCGAACCCGAGACTTGTTGGTCCGAGGGCTGGTGCTCTAACCGCTGAGCCACACCGACTGGGTTAGAGGTTATTTTTAAAAGCTACGTCACCGCTGTTGGTGCTGAAACCTTCCCGGCGAAGGTCATACACCGAAGCCCACTGGCCAGCAGCCTGACGTGCAGCCTGTTGTCAGGGACGTGGGGCCCGGACGGACCGAAACGCCGCTCACCTTCAGAAACTCCAGGAGCGCGGGCTTCGCTGAGCAGGCCTTACGGAGGACGGCCACGGCCGCGCCGAAGTTGTTCACGTACTCGCTGTAGGCGTCCAGCACCATGGACTTGGAGAACTGAAACGCAGGACACGGCGTCGCGTTGGCAGCGTGGCGCCCCTGCGGCCCTTCCCGCCCAGCGTAACCTCCACGCTGCGCGCTCACGCGATGGACCCGACCAGGCCCGTGGGTGCCCTTTCCTGCGAGCTCGGCGGGCTCTGTGCACGTGGCTGGGTGACCCTGTCCTGCTGCCCTGGTGCCGGGCAGGCTGGTCTCAGCACATGTCCCCGACCCCCGACGCGCAGCGATGACGATGGCGGACACCCCCCCTTAAATTCCGCCGACCCGGGCTCCCTGGGCTTCCCGTCCAGCAGACGCCGCACAGAGGTCCCCCCTCCTGGGAACACACAGACTCGGGGGGCAGAGACGTGGCCTCGCTCTGCTGCTCCACGAGTCCACTGTCTGCCAGGACGGAAGCCACACCCTCAGGTGCCACCCCTGTGACGGGCCCTTAGAGGAGGGACATTTTCACCCACATGATGCTTAAGACAAAAGATTTCTTCCACTCAAAACTCTGTTCCCCAGGTCAATATTTGAGAAGGGAGCGGAGTAAAAGTTCAGGGGTGACAAAGGGAACATCTGACGCTGTTTGTTTTCCGAGAAGACCGTGGGGGGAGTGTGCGTGTGTTTCAGTGAGAACCCCGTTTCCTCGGCATGTCCCGGGCGCCCTGCAGTGGCACACGCGCTCACGCACACACAGATCACGCAGGAGAAAGGGAGGTGCCGCACCGTGGTCACAGCGGCCCCTCAAGTCCACAGACTCTGATGACGTTCCAGCTCGAGCCCCACGGACGGCGTCTCTGTTACAGACACTCGGGAGCCGTCTGTCCGACCCCAGAGCGCTGTCTCTGGGCGGGAAACTCACGGGCACAGGGCACATAGCAGGAGCCGACCAGGGGGAGACTCAGGAGCCTGATGCTAATGGTGCCACCGGGGCCCAGGCAGCTGGGTGGACGGCCCCGGCCCAGACGCACGGCCTGCCCCTCCTCAGGCCCCGTCACAGCGGGGCCCGGACACCTGCACGGGCAGCTCAGCCACAGGGCAGGTCTGAGGGGAGCCGTTGGGATCTGCCCGCAAGCTCCCCATTGTCCCAGGAGGGGACTGGAGCTCACAGGAAGGGACACCCCGCGGCACAGTTACGGAGCACAGCCTATCAAATCCCAGCGGCCGTGCCCGAAACTCGGTGCAGTAAGTGACCGTCTCGGACGCCCCTGCGGTCTCATCTCCCGGCGACGCCCACCACGCCCCTCCCTCGAGGACGCAGGGGGCAGAGCTCGTGGGGGCCAGCGGGCCGGGGCCTGGCCGGCAGGGTGACCACAGGAGGACAGAGCGTCCCGGGGGAGCAGCACTGGGGGGCGGGGCAGCCGCTCACTCACGGAGGCCACGAAGACGTCGCCGATCATCTCCACGGAGTCCCACTCGGCCACGCGGCTGGCCAGCGCGATCTGGAACAGGCGGTGGCCCTGCAGCACCTGCCGGAGGCGACTGAACACCACCTTCAGCTTCCTGTCGCTCAGGACCCGCGGCTCCATCTCGGACAGCGGCCGCTCGTACTGCTGCGGGGGGGGGGGGGGGAGGGGTGAGGCGCAGGGGCGCCTGAGGGCGGCACCTCTATCCCAGAACGCGGCCCTGGACTCCTTTCTTAAACAACACGGGCCGACGGGTCCCTCTGGACCGGAGCATGTCAGTGGCCTCCAAACGTTTCTCAGTGACTGCGTCCGATTTAAAGGTGGACATGGAAGAGCCTGGTGACCGGGCCGACTGCGGAGGACGGCGAGGTGTCACCAGTGTGCGCTGTGAGGGCGCGGGGCTGGCGTGTGCCGCTCAGCAGGGTCTGTGGGGAGTGCACGGGGCGGGGGGCTCAGCGGGCGGGGAGCGCTGTCCTTGAGGGGAGCACCCTGTTTCGTGGGAGCGACAAAGGTGTGCTCCCCACTCACTACCGTGATTCTCTTGTCCCTGAGTTTCTTCTGTGGTTTTACTGTTATCGCCTGACTGTGGGCATCACTACGCAGGCGTCCCCTCCTTCGAGAGCCCTGCCACGCTGAGCCTTTGCCGCACACGCGTGTGAGAAGGGCACACGCAGGTACTCGGGACGGTCACGCCTACCTCCAGGATCCTCGTGAGGGCGTCCACGTAGTTCTTCTCGCTGTCGACAATCAGACCCAGGATGCACCTCCTCACAACCTGTCGATTTGAAAACGCAGTGGTAGGAAATTACTTCATGCACACAGATTTCACTGCTATTTGGGGCTTGTCGATAAAGAGGTTTTTTTGTGTGTGTTTTTCAAAACTGTAGGTAAATGAGCCCTGGTCAGTTGCTCAGTGGTTAGAGCACTGGCCTGAGGATGAAGGGTTGCAGGTCCAGTCCCCGGCCCCGGTCAGTCGTGTGGGAGGCACCCAATCAACGTGTCTCTCTCACACCAATGTTTCGCTCTCCCTCCTGGCCGCTCGCTCTAAGGATCAACGGGAAATATTCTCAGGTAGGATCAACAACAACAGCAACAAAAATAGTAGGTAAAGGAAAACCCCAAAACCTCTAAAATACTGTACAAGGTGTGTCACTGACAACATTATGGACACGGAGTGTACGTCCCCGTTGCTACGGTGACGGTGCTCCCCACACCCCGAGGTGCACTCTGCAGCGGGCAGAGCCCTTCACTGACGCCACAGTGACCAGCGGAAGCAGCCACTGACCTGCCCGCCCGAGGGGCACGTCCCAGGCGCACGCGCACCGGAACCAGCTCCTCCGGACTCCAGTGCCGCTGGCCACCCTGCCTAACACGGTCTCCGCCCCCAGTCACAGAAGAGAACCTCTGGAAGGAGGAGGGCGCGGTCCTGGGGGAACCCTCTGACCGCGCAGAGGCACCTCGGTGCAGAGCTCGCGGCGACCTGGGGTGCTGCCCCCGAACACGGACACCATGTCCTGCTCCGGCGTCACTGCCGACCTGGCTCGAGCACCGACGTCAGCCCTGAGATGCCTGGTGAAGGCACCATGGTTCTTGATGCCGTCGTGAAGACCGTCTGGTCCTAAACCCACACACACGTGCACACGCGCACGCACACACGCACGTGCACACACTCCCCCAGCCCTGCACACACGCACACGCGCACACACGCACGCGCGCACACACGCGCGCACACACGCTCCCCCAGCCCTGCAGCCCAGGGAACCTCGCCACCCGCAGAGGACATGGCGCCACCTAGTGGCAGGGATGGCCTCTCTCACAGGAGGAGCCTCCAGGTAGGGGCCAGGGCCACCAGGGCTACAAACCACTCGTGACAGGGTCTGGTTTTTTCTTTACACAAAGGACTACTCGGTTCACAAAATTAAGACCAAAATCAGCCCTTCTGGATTCTGAAGGAAGAGGTGATAACTTGGGAAACGCTGCTGCGCCTGAGACTAACACCCCAGCACACAAGCGCGTCAGCTGCAGCCCAGCCTTGCGGCCCCGGCTGCGTCGCACGCTGTCCCTCCCGATGGGAACCACATGCCAGGACTGGGTCACGCCCCGGACGGTCAGAGGGGCAAACCGAGGCCAGCCTTTCCCCACCATTCAGAACCCCAGACACTACCTCAAGTCTGGAGTGAGACTATTTGGGGTCTAATCTAGGAATTATATTTATTTTTTTAAAGTCCTGAGATAATACTAATGCATGGAGCCCCGGGACCTGGAATTGGTATAAAACAATTTAATGAAAATACAAAAATGAAACCAAAGAAATCTCCTGCACTTTGCACACCCACACAGTCTCTTCCCCACTGCCACAGCTACGTGGATTTCTCAGCCTCGGCCACAGCTACACTGATTCCTAAACCCAGGGTACAAACTGTGGCAGGAGCACTCGCAGACCCACGGCACTGACCACAAAGTCACTCACTGATGCAACAGTAACGAGCTGACGTAGCCACAGCCCTTGGCCCTCAGCTCTGCCCACACTCAACTTTCCTCACGCTGTGGGCCTCTCTGGGGCACACCCACTGCGATGAACGAGCGTGCGCAACTCTCACAAAGAAGGGAAAGTCCCACATTTCTGTTCCACTGGGACTGATACTCAAAGTAGTAAGGATGGGACCGTCCGAACGCAGGGTCCTGCTGCTGACCAGGCCCTGCTGGGTCGGCCTTTTACCTGTGGGCCAGGAGAGGCCGACGGAGGAGCTGGTGGCCGGAGTGGCCAGGAGTCGGGACACAGCGGGTGTGCCCCAGGCGGCATGTGAACACTCAGACACCGGACAGCAGCTGAGGTGTGCAGGCAACGGCACCGGGTGCCCACCCAGCCGTCCTACCTGCTGCTGAGACAGACCTTCGGGCATTGGGGTCAGGACGGCGTCCGGGTGCCTGCAGTCCACGTCGATGAACAAGCTCTGCTCTTCCTCCAGACCCGGTCTGGGATCTAAAGTCAAGACGCTCCGGTTTGACACGGAAACAGTGTCCCCACATCGAGCCCCGTAAAGACGCTGCCGAATCAAGGCTCTGGGAAGGCGTCTCGGGCCCCCATGATCACGCCCACCGTGATGACCGAGGGGGAACCCCACAAACCCCAGGAGTCATCCTCCCCACAAGAGGGCCGGTTTCTGAAAGTTTCAATCCTTGAAGTTTAACTTCAAAAGGTAGAGGGGTCCTGGGTATCTGGATGGTATCTCACTTTCGTCTATAAAACGTCACAGTCAGCCCTGGCGCGAGGCTCAGTTGGTTGGAGCATCGTCCTAGACACTGAAGGGTTGCGGGTTCGATTCCTGGTCAGGGCACATACCAGGGTTGGGGGTTGGATCCCCGGTTAAGGCGCGTGCAGGAGGCAACTGATGGACGACTGACTCTCTCCCCCTCCCGCTTCCTGTCTCTAAAATCAACAAACATATCCTCAGGCAAGGATTAAAGAATAATAATAAAAATAAACCATCACAACTGGAAACAAAGCATGATGGGCTGAGGCCAGCACTCAGGACCAGAGACTCTCGGGGGGCTTCCTGCCCGCCCGGCCATCTGCCTGCCCCACCTCCCGTCTGAAACAGCCAAGCTCCCAAACCAAAACTAAATTCTTCTTCACGGACTCGACACCACAAAAAGTCTGGACACCAGGAAAGCACGTGTGGGCCAAGTCCACGCCCTCCCCGAGCCCCGGGACCTGCCCAGCCCCGCCTCCCGCCCCCGTGGGATTCTGACGGCCTCTCCCGTCTCGCCACGGAGGCTGAAGGTTTCTCAGGCCCACATTTCCGAAGACCTAGTGTTGGCGCCACGACAGTCAGCCAGTCCCAGACCGAGCCCAGAGGTTCAGGTCCTTGCCAAGTACCGTCCGCAAACGCCGCACCTGCACCAGCACCAGCAGGACGAGCTCGGTGCAGGAACCAGGAGTGTGTTTCAGGACCAGTCGGTCCCCGGACCTCTGGATCGTCCGCTCTCAGCCCTTGGCGCCTGGCTTGCAACAGTCACTCCCGCGACAGCCACACTGGGCTCTCGGCACGGAGGGAGCTGACTCTCGGAGCTCGGCTCCGCCCCCTGGGGGCTGTGTCAGACCCCGAGGTTCCGGAGTCACCCCGAACCTCCCCTCGCAGCACAGAGGTGCCCAGGTTCCTGCTGACACGGCCCCTCAGCACCTGCCGCCAGCCGCGGGCAGCGCACCAACCAGGGAAGAAACCTCGGGGCGCGTCTCCCAGCTCTGTGCAGCCTGCGGGGAACCCCCACACCGAGCCCTGGATCCCGGGGACCAGGCCCTGGGGGTGGGGCGCCGACGCCCAGGGCTGGAGGGGACGATACCAGAGGTGCCATCTGGGACCTGGAAGATGCTCTCAACCTTCTGCTGCCTGTTGCCTGTGCCCTTGGGCAGGTGCGCACTGCTGGGCGCCTGCCCGGGCCTCAGGAGCCCCACCGGGGGGGGGGGGGCAGGGTGGCGGAGCCCGGGGGGGGGGGCAGGCTGGCGGAGCCCGGGGGGGGGGGCGCACGGCAGGTGCCGACCTTGAGGAATGAAGGACTTGGTCCGGATGAAGGAGCGGCCCCTCTTCACGGCGGCCCTGGTCCTCTCCAGCCCGTCCCGGGTGCCCTCCTTCGCGGCCTTCACGAGCTTCTGCATCTGCGGGGGGAGCAGAGCGTGAGGGGCGCCCCTGGCCAGTCCACCTGCTGCTTTTCGTTTATTCTGAAACGAGGCTGTCGAGGGGTCTGGTGTGAAAAGCTCCCTGATCGGGGCGCGTTTTCCTGGCTGTCGTGGGGGTGAGTGTGCTGGTTGGGGCTGTTTTCTAAGAGAAACTCGCTGAGCAGGGAGGGCTCCTTGACATGGTTACAGAAGTAGCTGCTACGTTTAAAGCCCAGCCCCTCCTACCTTTGCGGGAATCACGACAGACACGCGAAGCACCGTGGACCTTGGAGGGCACAGCACAGCCCACGGGGTACATGACACATCCCAGGGATGGGTAGAGCCGCCGCCCGCCCGCCCGCCCGGCAGCCCGGGCACTCCCGGCCCCCGCCTGAGCGCGTGGGGCCAAGCCCGGGGCTCCCAGCCCCCACCTGAGCGCGTGGGGCCCGGGGCTCCCAGCCCCGCCTGAGCACGTGGGGCCAAGCCCGGGGCTCCCAGCCCCCGCCTGAGCGCGTGGGGCCCGGGGCTCCCAGCCCCGCCTGAGCGCGTGGGGCCCGGGGCTTCCGGCCCACCCTGGGCACAGGTCGCCCGTGCCCACTGGAAGGGCAAGAAGGTGCTAAGAGACAGGAGACAGACGGACGGACGGACAGCGAGGGAGGACCGGACGGGCCTCCGCTCCTCTGCACACATCGGGGTCACAGAGACCACGCCCTCCGCACGGACCTCACTGACGTTGTCCCACCAGCCAGTCTCGGACTGGCCATCGAAGGCATTTTGGATTCTTTCCAGGGCTTACGTCTGGGGCACTGGTCACCGGACGCCCGTGTTTCCTCCAGAGGAAACCAGGTGATGGTCCAGTGCCTGTCAGAGTGACCTCAACCCTGGCCGCCCCGTCCCAGCAGATTCTGGTACCTCCCGGCTCATCTGCCCGCTGCCTTCCCTCCGCTCCGCCTGATCTCCCCGGCACCCAGGAGGGGACCCCCGGCTGCCAGCCCAAGTGCGGGGCGCTGGCCCCTGAATCATCGGGCGGCAGCTGCGCCTGCGGGTTCGGCCGGGGCTGGGGCTGGTCCGGGTGTGCCCTGTGCTCCCCATCCGCCTGGGAGCAGCTTCCAGTCGCATGGGGCACGGCCAGCCCATCTCTGCAGCCCTCGCTTCCCGGCCTCGGACGCCTTCCCGAAAATGTCCACCGAGACCTCGCTCGACCCAGTGAAACCCAGGTTAGGTCCCCGCGGGACCCACCTGATGCATCAGCCGCAGGCCCACTGTGCAGCCTCGTCAACACTGCCGCGGCCCGCGACCCTGCACCTCACCCCACCGGGCGTCCTGGGGAGCACACACCCCGAGCACACCTGAGACCGCCCTCTCTCACAGGCCCACCGCTGCCTCCCGCCCCGCACCCCTCCTGCTCCCCCGGACCTGCTGGCTACACCTCCTCTTCATCCTGACCCCGTCCTGGCTCAGTCTGAGGCCCACCCAGGTGAGGGGACACAGACGCTGGCCCGGGGAGCTGGCGGACGAGACCCTGGCTCCACGTTCGGCCAGTGAGAGTTGCCGGCCGGCCCTGCACTGGCCACCACACTGCTCACACTGCCCAGGTGCCCGCAGCCCCTCGGCCCTGCCGCTCCTGACCAGCCGCCTCTTCTCAAACTGCTGGACCTGGCTCCGGGTGGCTGTTCTGTGGGCAGCCTGGAAACCGCCAGACCCTGGATGCGCCCAGGGAGGGACCTGTGCCCAGACACTGCCACCTGTCGGAGTCTCTCTGCCCCTGACTTCGGGAACACTGTGCTCTGTCTTTCCCTGCTCGGAGCCCGGGGCGCAGGGCGATGGAGCAGAGGGGGCATCTCTGAGCAGACGTCTGCGTCCAGGAGGCACCGCCCAGCACACACACAGCTCCCGGGGCCCGGGAAGGAAGACCGAGGGGAAGAAGCATCACCTGACGGGCCTTTTAAAACACCTCTCAAGGGACCGGCCCTCAAACCATGTCCAAACCAGCAGCTCCCAAACCTCCGGCCTCAGGACCCCTTTCTGCTCGTGAAAATGACCAGGAGCCCCACAAGCTAATGTTTGCCTGGGATTTTTATGTTTGATTTATTTAGTTAGTTAGTTATTCATTTATTTATTTTCTTTATTGATTTCCAAATAGGAAGGAAGAAGGAAAGAAATTTAGAAACCGGGCCGCCTCCTGCACGCCCCCCACTGGGGATCAGGCCCACAGCCTGGGCGTGAGCCCTGACTGGGAATCGAACCCGCGACCTCGTGCTGCAGGGTCGATGCTCAACCCCTGAGCCACACTGGCCGGGCTGCCTGGATCTTATTTATCTGTATTTTCTGTGTGACAGGTTAAAGTTGAGAAAAGTTCTGAGCATTTTTAAGTACTATTCACGGTGAAGTAGTAATAAATCTATCAATATTATCTTAGTTAACACATTTATGAAAAATTACTGTATTTTCCAAAACAAAAATAACAGGTGTGTTCTCTGTGTTTTGGGCGACCTCTGGGGGTCTGGGTCGCAGACGCTGGAGTCTGCCTCCCGCCGGCTGTGTCACGCGGAGCCCTCCGCTCCCGCGTGAGAGAGAGAGAGAGAGAAAGGCAAGTCGCGGCTCAGATTGGCCGGACGTCGCTGAGTGTCTGGGGTCACCTGGAAACGCCCAGACCAGGGGTAGGGGATGTCTGGCCCTCGGGTGGCCACGAAATCAGTACCAGCTCACATCACAGCCTCACCAAGTGAGCCCGACCAAGCAGAGCAGGCTGGTTTTTAGGCTGATAATTCTGTACGGCCCGGGAATGACGTTATAAATATCCGAGGGGCCCTTGGCAAAGAGGTTCCCACCCCTGCCTGCATTAGCCCCGCTCTAAGAACCACCGTCCAGGACAGGGTGGATGGGGCCCCGCGTGTCTCGGTTCCCGATGCGGCTTGTGGACCAGCGGGTGGGGAGGGACCCATGCTACCTTCAGCTCCTGCTTCTCCTTTAGCTGCTGAATTTCTACTGCGCCCACCGTGCTGGCCACCAGCTCCCTCATCTTTCTCTCATAGTGCGCCTTTAACCGGGTCAGGTCGCGGGACAGCTGGGCACAGAGAGACACAATCTTTTCACAACATGCTCTTTGTGGTACTTTCGACAGTCATACATTGAAAGGGCTTGGGCAGCATCTGGTGAGTGGTTGCGGGCCCCTGGGAACCCTACACCCCACGCACGCGAGCCCCCCTTTCTCGGATGGAAACACGAGTTTGCAAAACGGCGTCAAGACCGATGTGATTTCAGGTGAGCCAGACAGGAGATTTTTCTGTGCCAACTGAACGCAAATGCACACAAAACATAAGCCCAATCCTTTCATTTTGAGGATATTGAAATGATAAAATATGTAAAACGTGTGTAAAAGTATTCCTGTATGTCATCACCAAAGCAAGACCCTTGAACTCAGACCGCAGGGAGGGTGGCGTAACTGGGGATGGCCGACTGGGACCTTTCAGTCCCCATACGGACGTCACTCCCTCTCCAGCTGGTGGGGACGCAGTCAAATCTCCCAGTGAGACCACAGTGTCATAGACACGCAAACGGGGCTCCCTGCTCCTCGTGTACATGTTCCCGTCAACCAGGACGTGAACACGGAGCCGTTTCTTGTGAACATTGGAGGCTGTGTCTCAGCCTCCACAGAAGGTGCGTGAGCTGACCTCTCGCAGATGTCAGCACACACCACCCCTTCGGACAACAGCCCCATGACACGGTCAAACCCGGGGCCTCCCTCAGATAATCTGCCTCAACCAGACACTCCCAGGTCCAGGGTCCACCCTCAGCCTCTGTGTTTATGGGCCTTCGGATCCGTGTCCCACACACGCCCGTCAAGGGTCAGGGGCAGCTTGGGGGTCCTGTCCGTCACATCACCTGTGACATGTTCACATCTCCGTTTGTGTTGGGAACCCAGCGCTCAACCACCGCAGGCCAGTGGGGTCGCACCGCATCCGGCAGACCGGTCCCACCTCAGGGTGCAGAGCAGACTGCGTGTACACAGTGCAAGTAACTCAGAGAACTGCCATTTACTTCCTTGACGCTCAAGGCAGCAAGATCTCCTGGGCCTGTGAGTGACTGAGTTACCATTTAAGTCCCCGCCGGCCACGCATCGTGTCTCTCCTCGAACCACCAGCTGCCTGGAAAAGCAGTTACGGAGACGTCGCGTGGCCCGCCCTCGTGGCCTGCGCCGTGGCCTGTGACGTGGCCCGTGCCGTGGCCTGCGCAGACACCGCACTCACCTGCTTCCGGTGGCTGCTGCGCAGGAAGGACCTGGGAACCCCGTTCCTGCCCTCGGTGTCGCTCTGCTCCTCGTAGCTCTCGAACTCGCTGGAACTCCAGCCGCCGTCCACGGAGCTGTTTCCACCCTCATCCCCGTTCTCGACGTCGTCGTAAATCATCTCGTCTGCGGCACAGAGACAGCAGAGTGAAACCCAGGGCGTGCGACTCCCTCGCCGTGGCTTCCTGGCTGGGCATTTCCCCGCGGGCTGGGGCGGACGCGGTGCAGAAAAGTGTGGGGGGGGGCATGCAGCCTCGGGGGGTCTGCCCCTCTGGAGGCGTCAGGGGGACGGGGTCGGCGGTGATGCCTGGGGCCTCACAAAGCTCCGACCCCCCTCCCCCTCAGCACCGAGGCCTCTGGGCTCCACAGAACCCACAACGACACCAGACGACTGTCGGCAGAGACTGTTGGAACAACGCAGGGGACAGAAACATCCTGGGCGGTGGGGGCGGAGTCCAACAGGAACACAGTGAAGCTCGTCGCACACAACCGTACACTTTGCTTTTGTGCTAAGAAGACTGTGAATGGCTGATGAAACTGTGAATAATCTACGGCTGCACTGAGATGGCCTCATCACGTCAGCCCTTCAGACCCAGGGAGGAACACGCTGAGGCTGGGACAAAGGCGTCCTGGGAGCGGGCACACCTGGGCGGCCAGACCCGTCCCGGGCAGGGGCCGACCGCAGACCTCTCTCCGTGTCCTGGCTCTGGAGGCCCCCCCATCACCCCTCTGCTGAGACACCTGCCTGGTCAGGTAAGTGACCAAAAATACGTCTCGAACTCACTTTCAGAGACGCGTTTGGTCTCCATTCGCGGTGTAGACCTAAGTAACTGCCCAGGAGCTTACGGATTCGTGCGCATTGGGGTTCACTTCCCCAGAGGGGGACCTGGGGGCCCGCCTGGGGGGAGAGCAGCCGAAGGTCTGATGGGGACCCTGCTGCAGATATGAGCACAGATATTTCCCGAATTTCGCCTTCACGAGGCTGCTTCCTTCTGCGTTTTAACCACGAACGGCCACTGAGTCTCCGTGGGTGCTGAGATGAGCTACACTTACACCCAGCACCTGTTCCTGGGGAAATGGAGCGAAGGAACCTGCGGTGTTAAAGGGTCCCTGACCCCTGCGAGGAGCTGGCGAGTTCAGAGGGCTCCTGCTGGACTTGACCTCCTGAGGGTTTGGGACATTAGGCTCAGGCCCTCGAGGGGTGGATTATACATTTATGCCCGTATCCCAGCATGGTTATTGGGCGTCCTCTCCTCCCATCTTGGGGACCCTGTGTGCCACGGAGGGACCATGTGCACCACGGAGGGACCGTGTGCGCCACGGAGGGGCAGTGCATGCCCGCAGGCTGTGGTCCTGGAGGGCCATCTGGCAGATCCACTGAGCAAATGACAAGACCGTGAGTCCCTGGAGATTGTTTCCTACGTCAGATACAGTCCATTTAAAGGACGTGTTTCATTTTCCAAGTGTTTCAGCTCGTCAACCGAAAGTTCACAGAATTCCCTCCTGGTTTTCCCGAATTTCTCCTGCGGTCCGGTCGTCCTGGCTGATCCCCAACCTGGCACCGTCTCTCCCTGAAGGATGGGGCTCTGCGTTCTTCCCCGAGACCAGCTCCTGCGCTTGGCGGGTCCTTCCCTGCTCCCCGTCTTCCACTCCTGGGCTCGGGTCCTGCTCCTTCCCCCCCCCCCCCCCCCCCGTTCCCTGGCTCCGCCCTTGTCACGTGCCGAGTGGGAGGCTGAGCTGATTCTTCTTCATTCTCCCCTTTTCTTAGCAGATGCCACAATCTCTATAATTCCTCAGTATTTTAAATCTGCCCCGTACATTTTGTTGTTGTTGTTGTTTTTCCTCTAATTTTTATTAATTTATTTTTGTTACAGATGTTTCTCCTTTTTCCCCACTAGACCCCTCCTCCTTACCCGGCCCCCCAGCCCCCCAGCACTGTTGTCTGTGTCCACTGGCTAGGCGCACAGGCATATAAGCTCTGTGGTTCATCTCCTCCACCCCCCGCCCCCTCTTCTGTCCGTCAGTCTGAACCGCACTCCTTTCTCTGTCTCTGGGTCTGTTTCGTTGCTCAGCTCACTTTGCTCATTATCTTCCACAAATACGTGAGGTCATGTGGTGTTTGTCCTTCTCTGACTGGCTCGTTTCGCTTAGGACGATGCTCTCCAGGTCCCTCCACACTGTCTCCGAGGATGAGAGATCTGCCTTCCTTGCCGCTGCATAGTACTCCCTGGAAGCTTTTATGCAACACTTTCATTATTATTCAAGTCAGAACATTTCCTCACGTCCATCCCTATGACATGAGTCGTAAGCTGTGTGATCTTCAGTTTTCAGACATTCGTGCTTGTTTTTCTGACTTTCTCGGGTTTTCGTCGAGGAATGAGGCCTGAAAACAGGCTTCCGCATTGGTGACCGTGGGCTTTACTACTGCGCAGTGTTCAGACGCCTCCTCTGCGTCTGGGAAACACGTCCCTCTGGAACTATTGGCCTCAGGACCTGTGTGCGTCTCTCGACCTGCTTCTCGTTCCTCCTGTCGCATTTCCCTCGATCTGCTCTAGGCCACGTCGCTGGGTCACGCGAGTTCGGGACGCGGACATCGCGGTCTCTGGGGTCTCTAATCACGCTCTAGTCGTCCTGGCCACATCTGCTCGGCGTCGGCTCGAGCTCCACCTGCTGGTGTCCAGTGTTCCGTGTGCTCACGTGGCTCCTATCGCCCGGCCCGGCTGCGCTCCGTGACCCGAGCTCAGAACTTCTCCTGGCAACTGGAGCCCACGCAGGGGTGTTGTCCGCACCAACACTGGACTAGTCCTGCCGTCTGTCTGTCTGCTGTTCACACGCTTCCTTGTTTCATGTTTCCTGCTGTCTACCAGGTGGAGTTTCGCTCTACTGATTCGGAAGTTCAATCGTCTTTTTCTGTTCTTTTAGTGGTAATTCATAAAATGCAGACCTGAACTATCATATAAAAAACGGGACCCAGCCCGGCCGGTGTGGCTCAGTGGCTGAGCGTCAACCCTGCACCGAGAGGTCGCTGGTTTGATTCCCGGTCAGGACACATGCCCAGGTGGTGGGCCTGATCCCCAGTGGGGGGCGTGCAGGAAGCCAGTCGATGTTCTCTCATCATGTTTCTCTCTCTCTCCCTCTCCCTTCCTCTCTCTAAAATCAATAAAGAAAATATTTTTTTTTTAAAAAAAGGTGTCCACACCCTTCTCCTGGAAACCGGCAGAGTGGGTCTGGGCTGGCCACACCCCTGCAGCCCCCAGCTCAGCTCCTGTGCGCTCTGCTCCGGAGGTCGCACGGCTGGTCCCCGCTCGCAGACGTGTCAGCCTGTGTGCTCGCTATTCTGCTCCCCATTCTGTTCAGCAGCCTGTCCTTGAACTACAACAGAAACTGTTTCTTTAGAGTCTGAGTGGAAAACCTCCCCGATCTCGTCTTCCTTAAGGAACTGCACTTCTGCTGCTGTGGAAATCTGGGTGGAAATGCCCGGTCCCCCAGAGCTCTTCGAATGCAACCCCCCTGTCTCCCAGCACGGGGCGTCTGCTCTTCCCTCCCAATCACAGTCCCTTCGGGGCAGCTGTGCCTCCTGCCCCGTGGCCACCTTCCCGTGGCCTCCTGCCCCGTGACCACCTTCCCCGTGGCCACCTTCCTGTGACCACCTTCCCCCTGGCCTCCTGTCCCATGGCCCCCTGCCCTGTGGCCACCTTCCCGTGGCCCACTGCCCCGTGGCCTCCTTCCCCGTGGCCTCCAGTCCAGGCAGGCCTGACGCTTGGCCTGCTTTGAAGTTTCTCGTTTCCTCGTCCATCAGACCTGCGCTGCTACTTCTCAGCCCCCGTGTTCCGGGCCTTTCCCTTCACTCTCCACACCCTCAGCTCTTTCTGCTTCTCTGGGTGACGCAGAGAGTGACCCTCTATCAAGTGCTGTAACATAAGCACACGCATGTGCCCAGCACACGGTACCACGCGACACTGAACCGTGCAGGGCACAGATGTGACACACAGGGCGGGGAGGGGTGCGCCGGCCCCGGTGGAGAGACCGCTGGACCATCGCCTACCCCACCGAGGCCGTCAAACCTGGCTCCGAGTCCGAGTTCTCTCTGGGCACGTCGTCGTATATGGCCTCCTCTGGGTCTGCAATGGAAGGAGGGAGGACTTAGAAACTGACGCAGACCAGGGAGTGCGATTCACACGGGACAGGCCGTGGTCTCCCAGGCACACGGCACGCAGCAGCGTCGGCACTGCCGAAGCACAGGCGTCATGCGCAGGGCAGGGCGGTGCCTCGCTCCGCGTGGACCGTTGTGAAACATCAGCTGGGAGCTGTCCTCTCAGGCCAGTTCCCCGGTCACTGTCTGTCCCGTCGCCTCTGTGTGGCTCTGACAACCGTCAATGCATGGAGTTAAGGCGTCCCCAACACCCAGAGACAAAGGGACGGCCCCCACCTGCTCGGTGAGGTGAGAAACCTCCCAGAGACCGATGACGGTGATGTCCGTCCCCGGCCACGTGCAAGCGTAGAAATGGTGACCCTGCGCCTTGGCCGTGCGGCTCAGCGGTTAGAGCATCGGCCTGTGCACTGAAGGGTCGAGGGTCCGATTCCGGTCAAGGGCACGTACCTCAGTTGGAGGGTCGATCCCCAGCCCTGATCGGGTCATGCAGGAGGCAACCAATCAACGGGTGTCTCTCTCATCAGTGTTTCTCTCTCTCCCTCTCTTCCCCTCTATCTAAAGTCCTTCGGGTGAGGATTAACAAAAATAACAAACAAAAATTAAGAACCATAAGGAACACATGTTACAAAGGGCCACAAAAAAAAAGAGGTCAATACAAGGGACTGTCTTCTGACCCCCAGACACTGTTACCCACCCCCGTGACAAGGGCAAATTCAGGAACAGCCTCAATAGTCTAACTACAGCTGCAGCCAGTACCTCTGCCCTGTTAGATGTCGGGGACTGGAGTCTACAAGCTTCCTTTCCAGCACAGTTATTCTAATTAACGGCCGTCTGCATATCAGAAGTGAGCAGGAAATTCAGGTAAGTTTACTTTGGAAGTGAAATCACTGCAGAGTAGCAGGGCAATCATTTAACCCTGTAATAACCCTGATTTCACAGCCCCACCCCATCCCCACAGAATCAGCTAATTACACTCTTTATTGGACAATGTTGGAATTAAAGCCAGAATGAATTATTCAGGGGTAATTTCCTCATTACACCCAAGATGGATGCAATCACACAGGAATTAGGGAGCCAGCAGGGAATAAAAGAGATAATCAGAAGAGCAATCTTCACTGTCTCTTTAAAAATTAAAACAGTAGCCCGGCTAGTGTGGCTCAGTGGACTGAGAGGTCCGGGTTTGGTTCCCGGTCAGGGCGCACGCCCGGGCTGCAGCTCGATCCCCAGCAGGGGGCGTGCAGGAGGCAGCCGGTCATGTTTCTCTCTCACACCGATGTTTCTATTCCTCTCTCCCTTCCTCTCTCTCTAAGAAATCAATTTAAAAAAATTAAAAAGTTAAAAAGTTAATCTAGCTAAAAACAGGGGCGCTCTCTAAACCACACGGGGCACAGGCCTGGCATCTGGGGTGCCTTCTGGTCAGTGGGTGCTGCACCCGGCCGTGCAAAGGCCCCGGATCTCAGGGAAGAGGCTTTCTCGGTGTCTCCGTGGTGACTGCTGGCTGCTGGTTGGGGCCAAAGCCTCAGCTCCCGAGTCCACAGCAGCCAAACAGAAACCAGCACCAGGAAGACGGGCCGGGACGCACGGCGCCGGGCGCAAAGGAAGCGAGCTGCCCAGCAGGCCAGGGGGATGGGCTGTGTCAGAACTTGTGGCCCCGATCCCGGGCACGAGGCTGATGGGCAGAGCCGGGCACCAGCAGCCCCGGCGGGTCTGCTGCTTACTGTCCATCCAGGCGGTGTTGGCGGGATCTGCCACCCAGCGGGCGAGGGCACTGTCTTCAGCGTGGACCCGATCCTCACTGCAGGAAAGCAAACAGAAAATCGCCACACTGACCATCCTTCGGTCAGAGTTGAGCGTCCCCAGAGCTCCCACACAGGCCGACGGCGTGTTTTCCAGAGGGGACCGCAGGCGGCAGTCAGACCTCAGGGCTCCAACATCTCCCGTCGTGAACAAGCCGCCCCCCAGCCCAACTGCCCTTTCCTGCCGACCCCTGTGCGATGCCTCAGCCTCTCCCGGGTGACAAACAGGAACGAAGGCACACGTCCAGGTCCGTCTACCACCGCTGACAGCTCAGGCAACTGTGCCGTGACTATTTTCGTGGGTTTCTGCTTTTGTGGTTGCTCACTATTATTATTAAATTTCACTTTTTACTGTACACTGCATTTCCTTTCTGTTAAATTTTTATTACATTTTACACCCTTTTTTAGTTTCAAAGTGTTCGTTTATAGATGAGACAGCACATTAGGCATGAACTGCACATGAGCTCCCCCCGCCCTGCCTTCACGGACGTGGGAAACAACGTCTCTGCAGGTGCCGGAGCTGGTGCAAGCCCTCGGGTGCCCGCCCGCCCCAGCCAGGTCCTCAGCGGGTCCGCGACCACATTGCACGCGGGTGTGAGCGGGTGTGGGGAGAGATTCACTACCGCCAAGAAGTAGAAACACACCACGTGTCCACCAGCGGATGAATAAACTGAGAAAAACAGGTGATATACACGCTGCAAAACAGTGTTCAGTCTCAAACAAGAAAATTCTCACACACGACACATGAAGGACCTGGGAGATTACCCACAAAGTAAAATGAACCGGTCTCGGTTGAAAATCACTGCTCTCACTATTTACAATAGCTAAGATCTGGAAACAGCCCAAATGTCCATCAGGAGACGAATGGATAAAAAAGCCGTGGTACATGTACACAATGGAGTACTATGCAGCTGTAAGAAAGAAAGATCTCTTATCCTTTGAGACGACGTGGAGGGACCTGGAGAGTATTATCCTAAGTGAAACAAGCCAAACAGAGAAAGACAAGTATCATCTGACCTCACTTATTTGTGGAATATAATGAACAGAACAGTCTGAGGAATGGGGTAGTCCCAGAGATGTGGAAGTGGGGTACAGACTGACAATCCCCAGAAGAGAGGGTGGTGGGGGAGAGATAAACCACAGGACTTATGTGTATGTGTGCATGAAGAGTGGACATGGACAACAAGGCTGGGGAGAGGGTGGGGAGGGACACGGAGGGGGAATCTGGGGGGTGGAAGGAGAAACGTCTGTAACAAAAATAAATTAATTAATTAAAAACAAACAAAAAAACTTATATGCATAGATGCATGACCAATGGACATAGACAACAATGCCGTGAGGGGCTGCGGGTATCAGGAGGGGTGTCAATGGGGGGAAAAGAGAAACATCTGTAACAAAAATAAATTGCTTAAAAAGGAAAAAAATAAAAAATCAATTCAAATCTAAAAAAAGAAAATCAGTGCTCTAAATGTATCTCATGCCACTGAATTTTACATGTAAAAATGGTTAAAATGACAAAGTTTATGTAGAGATTATTTACAATTGTAAAATGAATGATGCACATACCAAGAACTATAGAAGAGCACACGTTAAATAGCTGAAATGCACGGTGTGTGACTCTCTCAACAGAACTGCTCAAAAACAAACAAGCTCACCCGCCACGCACCGAGCCCATCTGCCACGCACTGAGCCCACCTGCCATGCACTGAGCCCACCCACCACGCACCGAGACCACCTGCCACGCACTGAGCCCACCCGCCACGCACTGAGCCCACCCGCCATGCACCAAGACCACCCACCATGTACTGAGTCCACCTGCCACGCACTGAGCCCACCCACCACGCACCAAGACCACCTGCCACGCACTGAGCCCACCCGCCACGCACTGAGCCCACCCGCCATGCACCAAGACCACCCACCATGTACTGAGTCCACCTGCCACGCACTGAGCCCACCCGCCATGCACCAAGACCACCCACCATGTACTGAGTCCACCTGCCACGCACTGAGCCCACCTGCCACGCACTGAGCCCAACTGCCACGCACTGAGACCACCTGCCATACTAGGAAGTACATGTTCTAAGACCTGGTAGTAGAAAGGGACACAGATATAATGCAGGTGTGCACTCAGCTCTGGAAGTACAAAAGAGGAAATTTTATAAAACACTTGAATTGGGTTTTAAGGGATGAGTAGGAGTTTGCCTGTGGAGAGGATTTTTCCTGAGTACACCAAGCAGATGAAATAACATTTGTGAAGGTAAGTGGTATAAAGAAAGGCCTATAACCAAATCAGCCTGGAGGGTTCTAGGCGAATTCTGGCTTAGACAAAGTTAAAAACGTGTCTGTTTCCACGGAAGGATCCTGAGAGCCTTCAGGATGCGAAGGCCCCCCAGGCGTCTCCAAGGAGACGGAGTGCACGCCTTCGGTCCTGTTTGGCTGTGGTCTCATTGCTTGCTTTCCACCGAGAATAACACGAGCGCCTCGCACAGCCCTGGTGCACAGTCTGGGCCCAGGGTGAGAGCGCAGAGTGTGTGAGAGACAGGGGGTGAGGAGCCGGCAGGGGCCGAGGCGGGGACGGGCCTGGGCAGTCAGCACCTCGGCGCACCTGGGCATCGCGGCACTCGGTGCTCCGGAGAACAGTTGTGACTCAGAACACCCCGTCACGTCCGCACACACACCTGTTTGCTGGGTCCTCAGAACTCAGAGAAGCGCACCGGCCGTCTTCTGCGGCATCCAGGGTTTCTGCTGAGAAAGGGACCAGTGTTACTCCGTGCGCGACGAAGTGTTGAGCAAGCTCATTTTCACCCTCAAAAGATTTCCTCCTTCGTGTCTTCACGACAGGCCTGCCTTGGCACAAAGATGATCAAGTGACAGGCTCGAAGCTTTCAGATAAAATGTCTTCCGGGGGGGATGACAGTCAGGAGTGATTCCAAAGGTCTTATGAAACAGCCAGACACAAAACAACACCCAAACCCATCAGGCTCCAGCTGAAATGAAACATCACACCCACCATTTCTTAAGTTTTCACGAGAAATTAGTTGTGATTTATTTCAAAGTGTGTCTACACGGCAACCTCAGAAGATTTTCAAGGGGGGATACCTAAGTTTGTGATATTTGACAACCAAACTTCACACATGCACACACTCACATACACAGCCACACACATACGTGCAGCACACACATCTTCCCACACCCACTCGTGCACACACACATTCCCACATGCACACTTGTGCACACACACATTTGTGCACACACACATGCACACTCGTGCACACACATTCATGCACACACATGCACACTCGTGCACACACTAGTGCACACACGCACACTCGTGCACGCACACACTCGTGCACACACACGCACTCGTGCATACACACACTCGTGCACACACATGCACACTCGTGCACACACACTCCTGCGCACACACGCACACCCCTGCACACACACTCTCGTGCACACACACACTCGTGTGCACACACACTCCTGCACGCACACACACACTCGTGCGCGCGCACACTCCTGCACACACACTTGTGCACACACACACTCCTGCACACACACTCCTGAGCGCGCACACTCCTGCACACACACACACTCGTGCGCGCGCACTCCTGCACACACACTTGTGCACACACACACTCCTGTACACACACACTCCTGAGCGCGCACACTCCTGCACACACACTTGTGCACACACATCCAGTGAGAGGCAGAGCTCACAACAAAGGCTTCAGTGCTCACTGACTGCCTGTTAATTGCTGTGCTGGCAACTCTGTGTCCAAAAACCCTTTTAGAAGGAATTTGTGCTAAGAACCACCTTGACCACTTCGGAAGGCTCGGCAGTTGACTTGGGTCCAGGAAGCTTGGAGATTTCACCTGCAGAAACGTCCCGGTCCCACTAAGTACCGAGGTGCCCGTTCGCAGGAGGGGTCCCAGGTGGTGCACCAGGAATCTCAGGGTGTTACCTCCTGGGTCCTCAAGGCCCCTGAACAGTTAGGCCCTTTCCACACATCGGGTCTCAGGAGAAAGGTGTTAGGGGAGACACAGAGCCTTCCGGACCCCTCAGCTCCCGTGAACGAAGACCCCAGCCAGACAGACTGACCCAAAGAGTCTGCCATTCACGAATCAGTGGGCGACGGGACAGCGCGCCCACATGTAACCAGTGTTTGGAGGAAGACATGATAGCTGCCCCCAAACACACAAGGCTTGGGAGCACCTGGTGGGCGGGGATGGGGCGAGTCCCAGGTCAGACTCTGCTTCCAGAACCCCCAGAGGAGCTCTGACTCCCCTCGACTGCGCACCCCCCTGGGGCCCACTCCCAGTGCCTGGGCAGACAGGTACCTTCGTCGTCCAGGGACACCGTGCGCATGATGACGGGGCTGGAGTAGGCGGGCAGGAGTGCGGGCAGGTTGGAGGGCACAGCGTAGCCGCAGGGCACGGGCACCGAGTACCCACTGGGCACGTGCGGGCTCACACTCTCCTCCTCGGCCTCAGGGTCGGGGGGCGGAGGCTGGTCTTCCTGGAAGGGCGTGATGTCGATGACGGAGTAGGGGTTGACTCTAGCTGGGACCCCGAGTTTAGTGGGTTCCACCGGCACCCCCATGTCTGCTGCTGTCCCGTCTTCTCCTGGAGGCAGACACCCTCATCAGGCCTGTGCTCCCCGGCAGCGGGGAGCCCCCGACTCCCCCACAGCACCAGGGCCCCTGAGGCTCCAGATCCCCGGGCCCGGACAGGGCATGCGGGCAGCACTGGCTTTGGGAGGTAAACTTTGGGGCAGGGGGGCACCCGCGGCCTGGCAGCTGCCGGGCACCTCGTCCCAGGGCGGGGGCACGTCAGCTGCTGGAAGGCGGGCCAGCTCCATGGGTTCCTGCTCCGGCCAGAGACACGCGAGGCCGGTCCGACCCGGCCGTGGGCGGTGAGTCAAGCGGCCAGTTCCCTTCCTGACACGGACCCAGAAACTCCTGCATTTGATTCACCCCAAGCAGCATCCCTTTGAAACATCCCGTGGTCTGTGGTGACACACGGATGAGGCTGTTCCACCAGAAACCAGGAACTTTGTCCCTCCAAACACTAAAGAAGGTGAGTGGGCGGGACTGGGAATCTGCAGACAGAGCAAGTGAGAGAAACTCGGCCCGTCCTGGCCGCGGCTCAGGGTGGGAGCGTCGTCCCCACACGCCAAGGTTGCGGGTTCAGTCTCCGGACTGGGCACATTCGAGAGGAAACCAATGAATCCATAAATAAGTGGAACGACAAATGGGCATGTCTCTGCCTCCCGCCCTCCCTCCCTCTGCCTAAAGTCAATAAAATTAAAACGAAAGAAATTCAGCCAAGTTCACTTCTGCTCACACCGCATCGCTCAGGACGCCCCTTCCTGGAGGGGTCCCAGCCGGCAGGGAGGGGAGGTGGGCGGCCGGGTCCCTGGGGGCCGCCTGGGACTCACCAGAGCTGACGGAGGCCGCGTCGGCTCCCACGGGACTGGCCGAGGGGGTGCCCGGGGCCCCTACATCTGCTGCTGGAAGCTCATCTCCACTGTCAAAATCAAACAGCTCTCCCTCCTCCTCGTTGTTGTTCGTGTCGCATTTCACTCCGTTTTCTACAGTGAAGACGACAGAGAGGACGGAGCTGACGTCTGTTACCAGCAGGGCTGCGTCCACATTCCTGAGCAGAGACCCACTGAGGAGGGGCGGGGGCACTGCCCTGTGACCAGCAGCCCGCAAGCTCTCAGGAGCCCTCTCACCGGGTGGGCTAGGCGGTCAGCGGCTTTGATTTCCTCTCATGGGAACTACAGGCACCGTGGGAAGAGGAAGGAGGGAGGAAAAGCACTTTCCACCCTGAGACACTTACACCGTGGACCTCAGAGCCCATGGACAGCTCAGGTCCCAACGCCGTGGACCCCGGAGCCCATGGAAGCTCAGGTCCCAGCGCCGTGGACCCCAGAGCCCGTGGACAGCTCAGGTCCCGACGCCGTGGACCCCGGAGCCCATGGAAGCTCAGGTCCCAGCGCCGTGGACCCCAGAGCCCGTGGACAGCTCAGGTCCCGACGCCGTGGACCCGTGGACCTCAGAGCCCGTGGAAGCTCAGGTCCCGACGCCGTGGACCCGTGGACCTCAGAGCCCGTGGAGAGCTCAGGTCCCGACGCCGTGGACCCGTGGACCTCAGAGCCCGTGGACAGCTCAGGTCCCGAAGCCGTGGACCCGTGGACCTCAGAGCCCGCGGACAGCTCAGGTCCCAACACCGTGGACCCCGGAGCCCGTGGAAGCTCAGGTCCCGACGCCGTGGACCCCAGAGCCCGTGGACAGCTCAGGTCCCAACGCCGTGGACCCCAGGGCCCGTGGAAGCTCAGGTCCCGACGCCGTGGGCCCCAGAGCCCATGGAAGCTCAGGTCCCGACGCCGTGGACCCCGGAGCCCGTGGAAGCTCAGATGCTAGCACAGTGCTGAACCGCTGTCGGGAGGACGCCTAAGGCCGTGGTTCCTGTCCCACGGATACGAGGACCCTACAGTGGCAGCTGGGCCACGAGCTCCCTGTCCCCCCGGGACAGTCCTGGCCAAGGCTGCCCCCCGGGGAGGGCAGGACCCCACAGCACAGAGTGGGAGCTCCCCCGCGAGCCATGTGGCTGTGACCCTGGACCCTTTGAGGGGGACTGTCTTTTTAATTTGTTTAGAAAAAAGTGCACACCTGAATTAAAATGTTGTAAAATGGCATTAAAATCTTCTATGTTGACCTGTATTTTGGGTATATTACACATAAAAGTACTGAGCCCTGGCCGGTTTGGCTCAGGGGTTAGAGCGTCGGCCCATGGACCAAAGAGTCACGGGTTCGATTCCGGTCAAGAGCACAAACCTTGGTGGTGGTTCGTCCCCGGCCCTGGTCAGGGTCGTGCAGGAGGCAACGAGTGGATGTGTCTCTCACGTTGATGTTTCTCTCTCCCTCCCACTCTCTCCATAAATGGAAAAATATCCTCGGGTGAAGATTTTTAGAAAATGACTTAAAGATTATACCAGCATTCTCTTTGGAAAGGAGCGGGTGGAGGGTCAGAAGACACGGCCCTCCAGTGTGACACAGTCGGCTGGAGAACAGCAAACATGTTGCCTGTTGTTTCCGTGGATGGTAAACAGGTGGAAAGTACGGGGGGGGGGGGGGTACGTCTGTCCAGGGGATGCACCTGCCACCGTGATCCAGTGAAAAAGTCACCGTCAAGCACCACCCAGCCCTGATCCTCCCACCGACGGCCATGGGGTGATGCGTGCTCGGTGCCCAGCGCCCGGGCCCACCGGACGGAGGGGGAGAAGGGAGGGGCCGGGCGGGAGTCCAGCAGACCCGACACCAGCGTGAGAGAGCGCGGGGGGGGGGGGGGGCACCTGTGCCCTTGGCAAGGGCACGATCTTCCCCCGGGGCGGTTCCTGGGCCGAGAGGCGAGTGGGGGCGAACAGTTAACCTTCAGGGTCAGAGCGGGGGCTTCCCAGGGAGGGAAGTCAGATGGGCGTCTACCTGTCTGAGAACCTCCTTCCCGGGGCCTCATTGGTCCGGGAGGCCTCTGGCGGTCGGTCCAAACGAGAAAACCATCTCACATGTGAGGCATTCACCTCTCCTGGAATCAGTGACACATTCTAACAGGGTGTTTGGAAGGAAACAGACTTTTCTTGTCCCCAGTGATGAAGGGCTGGAAAGAAGGGGGCAGAGTCCGGCTGCCTCTGCCTTTGGGGGTGGTCCCGGGGCCCAGGACAGCCACAGCTTCCCGTCGGGGCACACGCAGGGCACCAAGGGGTATTCACGAACACGTCCTACCTAGTTCTCAAGTGCTTTCAAGTAATAGTGACAAGTACTGAAATGGAATCAGAGAAGGGCGTTTGCACCACACAGTTCTGACAGCTGTCAGCGGGCGGACAGCTGCCAGCATCTCAGAGCCTCGCTCGCGTCTGTGTGTCCTGGTCTCAGACGCTCGGGACGTGGTGCGTAGTCTCACAATGCTTCACTAGAAGAATACTTTTGAAGAAACAACCGAAGTCTCTTATACACGTTAGGACATGTTTGTGCAACGAGATGCTACGAAATGACGGGAACTATTTTTTGGAGGCTGTTCAATCTCATGGAAAGGAGCTCCAGGCATACTGAGGTAATACAGTTTTTAACGTGTCTTTTCACACGCATTTGATCAGAGAGAACATGTTCTGCGAGCGTCCGGGCCCTGGGGAGCCGGGGCCCTGCTGGTGGGGATGGAGGACAGCAGCCACCAAGGAGACCAGGGTGGTGCCGACAACCCCGAGTTACCACTGGACCCCAAGGTCCCCCTTCTGAAAGCAGGGACTCCGCTCACCACGACCACAGGACCCAGAGGGGGAGGCACCCCCTGTCCATCAGTGGGTGATGGACAAGCAACATGTGCCAGTCCACACAACGGGATGTCATTCTGTCCGCAGAGGAAGTCGTGACACCTGCTGCCACACGACGGCCCCTGAGCAGCCTGCCCGGGCCCGGGGTCCGGCTGGAGTGAGCGTCCATGGGGACGGAGGTTCAGCTGGGAAGAGGAGGAAGTTCTGGAGGATGGTGGTGGTCAGTAATGAAGGCCACTGGATCCTCACATGAGAGCGGTCACTTCGTGCTTTTCTGCGTTTTGCAGATTTTCTACAGCAAGCACCATGCTGGCCGGTCGCACGGCTGGTTTCGGTGAGAGGACACGTCTCTGCGTGGCACCTCCTCTCTGGGGACCGTGTTAACTGCCTCGTGTTCATATTTAATTAAACACACGCCACCCCTTCCCTGGAAGCAGGCAGGGGCTCCGTCGTGACGGTCACCTCGCTCGCTGACGAAGCTGGTGAGCCCACCTCTGCGGGAACCAGTTCTGCAACAGGAGAGGAGCTGTTTCCTGGACACTTCCACACACCGGCTCGTCATCTGCTCAGGCTCGCGTCTCCAGATAAACACGACGGGAGATAACGCAGTTCAATACCCGACAGAGACGGGGAAACACACAGAACAACGCTTGTCGGGGCTGCGACGCAGGCCAGGAGCCCCGAACTGACTAGAACCACGTGGATCTGCCGTCGGCTCTGGCAGGAAAGTACATTTGGTGGCTCAACCATCAGGTGGTTCACCTCGATGTGATTCTTAGGAAACGTGTTTCTGTCTAAATGTGGGGGACAAAACAGGCTTGTGAAGACTTGTGGGGGACAAAACCAAGCCTGAACTATGGGGCCTGCAATCCCTGAAGGACAGGGACAGGGCTCAGGGTCCCCAGCTCTGTGCCCCGAGGAGCAGGAGCCCTCCCCCCACAAACAGGGGACAGCGGAGCTGCGTGGACAGGTGAACCCCTCACCATCAGCCACGCAGCCCTCAGCAGACTGGCCGCCTGCTCCCCACATGCTGTGTGAGGGATGAGTGAGTGAGTGATGAGCAGATGAGATCTTTCTGCCAAGAACACCCATGTTCCCCTCCGGGAACCTCCGGCAGGATCCGAGTTCACAGACGGAAGAGAAGCAGCAGAGAAGTCCTCCCAAGGGTCCCGTCCCCGTGGACCCTCTGCTGGCGGCACCTCTGAGGCCCTGGCGCCCGGACAGGTGAGAAGTCCCTGCTCACAGACAGCGACGTCGGAGGTGCGGGCAGCGGTCTGTGCCCTCCCGGCCAGGACAGTGCACCTCAGGGCACCACGCCCATCGGATGCCACCGAGAATTCAGTCCCAGAAAATAAACCGCCTGCTGTATCCCCGGCCTGGTGCCCCCTGGGGTGGCCTGCCCAGGCTCCCCCAGGACCAAGGAGCCTCGCCCCTACGCTGGCCACCCCCACCCACCGGCGCTCTCCCCAAGGCCCCCACCAGCACCCAGAAGACACCCGCTTCTGCACAGCACACTGAGCCCTGACCCTGTCCGTCACTGCCCTGGGACCCTGGGCTGCCGCGGAAACCCAGACCTCCTGGGACCGCAGGGAGGCCCCTCGTGGGGGGCAATGTGGGGACTTCCGGTCAGGATGGCGGGTAGGTAAACGCAGTGTCCGTCCTCCCACAACCACATCAAAGTTACAACTAAACTACAGAACAACCATCATTCAAAACTGTCTGACACCGAGCTGAATGGAAGTCCTGCAACTACGGGATTAAAGCAGCAGCCACATGGAGACTGGTAGGAGGGGGGGGGCGGGGGGGGCGGAGCTGGTCCCACACCCACATGTGGCGGATAAAAATCAGGAGGACACCTCGGCTGGAAGGTCCTCCCTGAGGTCTGAGGGGGTCCCCGTCCCGCACCAGGTGCCCCGCTCAGGGTCCCAGGGCCAGGAAGAGAATCCCCATCACTTCTGGCTGGAAAACCAGCAGGAACTGAGGCTCAGGGAGGCTGAGGCGGCTGGAGCCCCAGGCGGCTCCTTAAAGGGCCCGCGCACGGACTTCTCGGACTCTCTCCCTCTAAGCTTGGAGGGGAGGCAGCTCGAGGGGCACCAGAGACACACAGGGAAGAACTGAGCTGTTTGGCACTGGAGCGAGGGCTGGAGAGGGGGCTTTCTCAGGGACAGACGTGCTGTCAGAGGCCTTTGTTCCTTTGGTGAGCCGTTCCCTGGGGCGGCAGACAGCCCCCATATCTGGACTCCAGCAACCTGGCTCACACT